CAGTGGAAGGGGTCCCTGCCTGTGGTTGATCTTAAGGTTTTTTCCCACCCAAACCATTCCATTATTCTATGAATGCAAAGTCATGTGGGCAGGAGAACTGGGGTGAACATGGGTGATAGAGGAGCAGGGTGACTGCAGGGACTGGGAATGGCAGCAGAATGAATACAGGCAGTGTGGGGAGCATTGCAAGGTACTGCCTAGGCTTGCCCAGCACTAGTGTCCTGGCAGGCATATCCCCAGCAGCCAGCCATGGCTGATGGGCTCTGCCAGCTCCGACCTCAGCCAGCCTGCCCCAGAGAGGTACCCGCAGCTGGGCAGTGTCCCAGCCCCTCACCTTGCCTCTCTGGAGACAGGGTAGATGAGAGCAAGCGGCTTCCGCCCTCTGGGGCCTGGCACAGAAAGGAAAAACACCATAGAGCTCTTCTACCTGCCTATCCCTGGCTCTCTGGCTTGGCTCCATGGGAATCTAGCCCTGCCTGGCTGGTTTTCCATGGCTCTGGTCTCGGGAGGGGAGGCGAATGGCTCCTTGCGGGACACAGGCAGCCACACTCCCTCCCAGAGTGGTCTTGGAGGGATGGGATCCTGCCCTGTCCCAGCTGTGGCTGTGTCTCAGCAGGCTGATACAGCCTCAGGAGAGCCTGGCTGTGGATGCAGGCAGGTTGCTGGGGTGGTGGTGGTGGTGTGACTGGCACCATGGCAGAAGGGCTATAGGAGTGTGCTGCCACAGCACTGGCAAAGTGCTGGAGGGCAAAGGATGCCCTGGAGCCCCCTAGGGTTGCCATAGCAGTGGGCTGGGAGGGGGGAAACTGAATCAGTCAAGGGGACAGGACATGAACCCCGCAGCCCACGTCAGCTGAATTGTGCCATCCAGCACAAGGAAAGTCTCCCATAACCACACAGGGAGGACTGGATGGTGCCTTGGTGGATGCAGCCTTCATGAGGGGATACTGGCTGTGCCCAGCGTGCTGAACCTCACCCACTCCGCTGCTTGCAGGGCTTAAGATGCTGGAATGGGCAGGTCTCTCCCTGAGCTGACCCTGTAAGGGCTGCCTGTGGGAGCTGGCTGCCCTGCGGTGCCCATCCAGTGCTTGGCTCCCAGCCTTGCTTGGTTTCTCCCCCTTCCCTGGCCAAACGCTGGCATAAGGCAGCAGCACTGAACAACCCAGGCTTTGTGCTCGCCCGTGTGCCCACAGCAGCTCCCTGCCCCTTAGGGTGCAGGATCCGCTCCCCCCTTCCTCCCAGATGCTCTGGCGCCCTGGCAGCTCCACCATGGAGACGCTGCTTTCACAGCCTGCCAGGGACGGGAAGGAGCGATGGAGAGGCTCCAGCTGAGGCTCCCTTTGTGTCCCCATGCAGTTGTGGGCTCTCCCTGGCACACACATTGCTGCTCATGCTGCTGGGTTTGGATGCTGATGCAGGAGCAGGCTCCTGCTGTGCCACTCAGCATCATTCTGTGAGAGCTGTCAGTTTGGGAAGGAGCAGTGTCCACCCCTACCTGTACCTCTGTCTCTATCTGTGTGTCCTTCTGCCTCCCAATCCTGTGTATCTGTGTGGGAAGCAGCCACATCTGCTTGCCTGGAGCACTCGGCCAGGACCATGCTGCTCTGTCCTGGGTACTGGTCCCTTGTCACTGTCCCTTCACGGTGAGCTGAGCATGCAGGGGGTGGAGGTGGCGGCCAGGCTCATGGTGCCACTGTGGTCTCACCAGCTCTCTCCTCCCTGGCTGTGGTGTCTGTTCTGATGTTGGTTTATCAGCACAGGCAGGACGGAGGTGGGACTGGCACTGCTCATCTTGCTGGCCCAAGGATAACCTGTGTCCTTCCCATGCCGGCTTCAGGCAGTCCTCTTGTGCCAGCATGGGGATGGCCAGGCACAGGCTGCCTGTGTCATGGGTTCCAGGGCATCAGCCAGACCCTCTATGGGTGTCTCAGCCCTTTAGGACTCAGATGGTGACTTTATGATTTCTAAAGTTGCTGATCTTTGTAGCAGAGGAGAGAAACTGAGGCAGAGCATGGCAGGCGCTGCCAGGTCCCCCAGTGTCACCTGGTGGGATTGAGGACAGGGCCACCAAGACAGCCCTTGCTAGCTCTGCTGATGTTTGTATCACGTTTGGCTGGAAAGCTGCCCAGTGGAAAAGAACCTGAGGGTATTGGTTGATAACTGCTTGAACAGGAGCAGCTTGTGCCCAGGCAGCCAAGCAGCCCCCAGCATCCTGGCCTGTACCAGCACCAGTGCGGCAGCAGGGCCAGGGCAGGGATTGAGCCCCTGCACTGGGCACTGGTGAGGCCGCACCTTGAATCCTGTGTTCAGCTCTGGGCCCCTCACTACAGGAGAGACCTTGAGGGGCTGGAGCGGGGCCAGAGAAGGGCAGCGGAGCTGGAGCAGGGCCTGGAGCACAGTGTGATGGGGAAGGGCTGAGGGACCTGGGGGGTTCAGTGTGGAGAAGAGAAGGCTCAGGGGGGACCTGATGGCTGCCTCCAACTGCCTGAGAGGAGGATGGAGCCAGGAGGGGCTGGGCTCTGCTCCCAAGGAACAAGGGATGGGACAAGAGGAACCGGCCTCAAGCTGCACCAGGGCAGGGTTAGGTTGAAGATTAGGAAAGCTTAATTCTCTCAAAGAGCTGTCAAGCACTTTAACAGGCTGCCCAGAGCAGTGGTGGAGTCACCGTTCCTTAAGGTATTTAAAAGGCATGCAGATGTGGTACTCAGGGACATGGGTTAATGGTGGCTTTGGCAGTGCTGGGTTAAAAGTTGGACTTGATGATCTTAAAAGTATCTTCCAACCTAAACGATTCTATAATTCTATGTTTGTAGGAGGTATTCTAGTTCCTGAGCATGGCTTGATCTGTATGTGAGCACCCGCCTGGCCCAGCGAGGGTCTCATGTGGCTCAGTGCCCAGCATGGTGATGTTTCTCCTGGGAGGGCAGGGTGTGAGAGAGCTGGGACAGTTGGGTGCCAGGGAGCAGGAGGAGCTGCACTGGCCTAGAGAAACCCTCTGCAACGTCTTGGTGGTCACATACATCTCCTGTGATGCTGCAGGGGATCTGTGCACCATTCCACATGAGGCTGCGGCCACTGGCACACATCTCTGCCCTCCTGCTCTGCTTGTCCTGCTCTTGCAGTGGGGGATCCATAGTATTCCCACACCAGCTGACAGGAGCTTCCAAGAACATCCATCAGTGATGCTCAGCTGATTACCTGAAGAGCAGGCCCCTCTGGGGAGGTTCCCATGTCCCTGGTCCCCCTGGGGAGATGGGATGCATGTTGAGGGCTGGTACATGGCTCCCTGCAGGTCCCCTGGCAGGTGATGGGGTCCCTCAAGTGCTTGGAGCTGGCTGGGCAATGATGTTTAGGGAATGGGAGAGCCATAGATGTTGGCATGTGGACACCATTGGCTCCTGGCCTCAAGGACAGCCCAGCATGGCCGGTCTCTAGCCCATGCTCTATGGAGATCCATGTGTGTACACCCCTGCAGCGCTGCTGCTCACCCTCTCTTCCAGACCCACATTTAACCACCGGGGAGGGGATGAAATGTTCTGCTGAAAACCCTGTTCTCCTTTCTCTGAAGAACTTTCCCAAATTACCGTGGTTCCAGTCTGTTCCCTGCCCATTCCCCGAGGACACTGTCGCTGAGCATGGCTGGGGTGAGGGAGAGGGGGAAGCTCAGAATGTTGTTCAAAAAGCAATTAAAGCTGGGGTTTAATGTTCCTGGAGGAGGGTGGGACCCTGGGAAGGCGACAGGAGCGAGTCTGGGGCCGAGCACATCAGAAGCTGCTTTCTATTGTGGCTGCTGAGCTAAATTTACCCACAGACACCCAGAGCTGTTCCCACGCGCTGGAGAGCCGGGTGCTCGTTCTGCCTCCTGCCCCACGGGGACACCCTGGCCCCCAAACCCGGTGGGGGTTCACAGGCTCATTTGTCTCTTCTGAGCCCTGCTTGCCACCGGCCAGGCTGAGGAGGCTCTTGAGGAGCCCCAATCCACAAAGCGTCTGCTGCGGTCGCTGGCAGGGATGCGGTGCTGCCGGGGATGTGGCTTCCAAGGAATTAATAGCTATGTCTCTGAAGCACCCAGGGAGGGGAGATGTGCAGTCATCAGCTCTAATGAGAGCTGTTTGCCGTGGTGCTTGGCTCTGTGCTCCCTCATTCTACACGAATCCCCTGGGATCAGCCAGCTTCCCACAGCTGGCACATGCACCCAAACCCGGAGCTGCTGCAGGCTGTGCCTGGCTGCTCTGTACTGTTGGGAAGGGGCTCAGTGTGATGGGTGGGAATGCAGAGGGTCACCTGTGCATGCCACCAGAGGCAGGAGCTGGGCACAGCCTCGCCTGTCCCCATCCCATCCACCAAGCCCATGGCTGGGGACAGCTGCTGGGCTGGGCGGTGGTTGGGTTGGGGCGGTTGTTTTGGCTCTGGGACTGTCTCGGCATGGTTTTGCCCTTTGCATTTCAAGCCTTTGGAAGTGCAGTTTGATCTTGTTGCCTCTGAAGTGGGTGCTGCTGGCTGCAGAGCATCCTGCCTGTGCCCTGGCAGTCCCTCTCATGCCTGCTTCTGTGTATCAGTGGGTATCTACGCACAGCCAGTGCTTGCTGCCTCGACAGGGGCATTGCAGTGCATGAGCCAGCATGGCCATGGCCCTGTATGCCCCTGTATGGGCCATATTCAGCTACTGGGGCAAGGGTAGTTTAAGTGGGGGCTGCATGTGATTACCTGCCTGTGCTGTGGTCCCCAGTCCTGCCTGTCACCTCCTCGGCTGCAGAGGTGGATGGTGGCATCACTGGAATGCCCCAGCCCCTTTCCTTGGCCACAAACAGATCAAGGTTGTCACTGGGTGCAGGAGCAGACGCATTCAGTGCTCTCTGCTCCATACTGCAGGCAAAGGTGCGCCCAGTCCCCCGTCTGCAGCAGCCACAGTTCCAGTGTGGGACATTGCTCACATCCTCAGGACCAGGCTCATGTGAGTGAGCCCTGAGGCTGCCCTCAGCCCCCTTCCCTTCTTGCAGGATCCGTCCTCAACTGTCCAAAGAGAAAATAGAGGGATGTCACATCTGCACCTCAGTGACACCCGGAGAGCCCCAGGTGCTATTGGGGAAGGACAAGGCCTTCACCTATGACTTTGTCTTTGACCTGGACACGTGGCAGGAGCAGATCTATACAACGTGTGTTGGCAAGCTCATTGAAGGCTGCTTTGAGGGCTACAATGCCACTGTGCTGGCGTATGGACAGGTATGTGCTCTGCCTGCTTCTTGGGTTCTGGCATGGGCCTTGGGCTCCTCTGCAGCACTGGGTGCTGGGGCTGCTGAGACGGCATCTGCAGAGGTTACAGGTGGTGGGGAGTGGAGGGGACAGAGCTGTTCCTGGGCTGGGCAAGAGAGGGGGCTGGGGCTGGTCTTGGATGGGAGGAGAGGGAGGCAGGGCTGGGGTGGGGGCATAGGAGGTGGTGTGAGAGTGGGGATCAGAGGAGTTTAGCAGAGGCATTTGGGGTGCTGGGGTGGTGATGGGGAGGTGAAAGGTGCCTTGGGCAGAGCTGAGCCTGGGAGAGCCCAGCCAGCTCCCCCCTCGTTGCCTCTTTGCAGACTGGTGCAGGGAAGACGTACACCATGGGCACCGGCTTTGACGTGAACATCTCTGAGGAAGAGCAGGGCATCATCCCGCGGGCCATCAGCCACCTCTTCAGCGGCATTGAGGAGCGCAAGCGCACGGCGCAGAGTCAGGGCAGGGCAGCTCCGGAGTTCAAAGTCAGTGCCCAGTTCCTGGAGGTGGGTGACGGCACATCTGGGTGACACTGCCACCCTCTCCTTTGCCCAGCAGTCGTGTCCTGGCTGCTCCGTGGCTGAGCTGTATCCTACAGCAGGTGTGCTGCCACACAGCAGAGGAGACTCAAAGGAGCTGCCCTCATGATGGCCACGAACGGGGGTGGCACTTTCTTGGCTGAAGGGATCCCCTTCCAGTGGCCCCTTGTCCCTTGGACATTCAGGGGGCTCTAGGCTTGCTTACTCCTGGCTGAGGTTGAGGATAGTGACATATCTGCTTCCCTGGGTCTGTACCAGCATTCCCAGTGAAACAAGTGGAAGAAGTGCCAATCTTGTGGGGATTGGAGGAAGGGCTGCATTATTTCCCATGTCCTTTGCTGCATCTTTGACCTTGAGAATGCTTCATTGCATCCTTTCCCGCCTCTGCTTTGGCCTCTTGATTTCAAAAGGCTCTTCTATTAACTACTTCTTTTCCTGGAGAAGCTTGTCCCTGAAAGCCTCTGGACCTTGTGTGGCTGCAGCAGTCTCCCTGTGGACTGGTTCTGGTGTAAAAGTGCAAAGGAGCTCAAGACAGGAACTGGTTTAAGGCCCTGGTGAGGAAACATTGGGTGGTGTTGAGCTGGTGAGGAACCATTGGGTGGTGTTGAGCCCAAAGCTGGGCTCCTAAACAGACTTCATCTGGTTGGTCTCCTGATCTGGGGTAGAGCCCAGAGGAAACAGGCAGGCAGAGAGAGAGGCCCTGTGCTGGGATTTTGCCTCCATGTGGCTTTGGAGTCCATCACACCTGGGTTCCTCCAGATGTCCGTGGCCTGGAGAGCATAAGTGGTGCCCAAAGGCACCTCCCAGTCTCAGGGGCTGATATCCTCACTGAAGAAATCCTTTCCAACCAGCTTTCCACCTGCAGAACCCTTGCTCACTCCCATTGTGATGTGTGTCTTGCCACATCCTTCCCTCCCCACCACTCAGCCTGTCCAAGCTCCTGGCTGCCTTCCCACATATCCTCATTCTCATGGGCCCCCACTCTGGGGAACCTGTGGGCTGGGATGGAAATGGGTACCATTTCCTGCCTGTACTGAAGTCCTTCTGGGAGATGCACCTTGATTGGGCTTTATCCCTGCTGCAGAGTGCCCTAACCCTGTTGGAACCATGGCATGGTCCTGCCTTCCTGAGCTGTAGAACCAAATACTGGCCTTAAACCCAATGTGTGTCACCTTACCCTATATAACACACTTTCCTTTACCTCTCAGCATCCTGTATCTGCTGTCTAGAAGATTCTTTGCTGTCCAGCTATAGTTTCCCTTGCCTCAGTTTCTCCCTGTACTTTGGGATGCCCCAACAGTGTCTCAGGATGCTGGGTGATCTGGTAGCTGGGGTTTGGACACGTGAGAGATGAATACTGGAAATGGGATGTCTGTGCTGCCTCTGTTCCAGGCCATCCTCAGAAGCATCTCTTCAAACCAAGAGGTCCAGCACAACCCCAGTGACACCTGGGGGTGAAAAAGCAGTGGCCCTGCTTGGGCTCACAGCAGCTGCCATGGGTATTTCCTGGAGCCTTTCTCACTCTTCACCACCTCTGACCTCTGGTGCTTTGGGCTCTCAAAACAGCCTCAGAGATATTTGTTCTGTGACTGCAGTGGAGGATGGGAACAGCTTCCTCTGCTGTGCTTCAAAGCTGCTCATGGTTACACTCCCCAGGCCAGTAGTGCCCAGTGGGACATTATCCGCCCCTGTTACACGTGGGGACCGTAGAAACCTGATGGCCCGGTGGCTAAGGCCATTGAGGCCTGCTGAAAGCCTTGCCTTCTGGTCCACCCTGCAGCATGGACATCAAACCAGGCAACCCAGTGAGGGTTTTGGAGTGATAATGGCTCTCCTGTGCCAGCGTGGGCACATGGCTGCATCAGATGCTGGTTACCAGCTGTGTTGTGCTGGCAGTGGAACAGGAGCTGACCCTGCTGATCCCTGTCCTGTGACTCTCCTCCCAGGAGCAGGCTGTGAGAGCAGGGTTTGAACCCTCAGAGAGCCTGTTTGCCCCTGGGGGAGCCAGGGACAGATCAGCCTGATCCGCTGAGGTGGCCAGGACCCTGTAGTCCTTGTGTCTCCCCGTTCTCTACACAGGGACATAAGTGTGAGAGGGTGACGTGTGGCATTGAGTGGTGGTGGCAGGAGGACAAAAGGGCAGGGGTGTCCCTCTGCCCCAGCATGAGACAGGATGCTGCAGGGTCAAGATACAAATGGGGACATCTGTCAGCTCCGGGTCCTCAGGGTTTCTCTGCTCATCCAGCCCTTCCTGTAGCCCTTTCTTTCCTTTCCACCCAAGGTTACCTTAGGGAAGCGTGGTGGGAGAGGGGCTCTGCTGGCTCCTGTGGCAGGGAGCTCTCCAAGTGAGCAGGGAAGGCTGGGAGGATGCAGAGCTCCTGGGTGTCCACACTGTGGGACAGGGACATGACAGGGTTGGAGAGTTCAAACCAACCCAGACTGCAGCTCAGAGCTTTGCGAGGCAAACATGGCACATGTATGTACACCTGCGTGGGCACACATGCCATTTCTTCTGGGCATCCTGTCCTGGCTGAGTACATATGCAGAAAGTTAGAGCTTGCCTGAGCATCATCTCCTGTGTGCACACACATCCCGTGTGTCCTTTCCTACATCTGCACACACATCAGCTCTCCTGGTCAGCCTTGCCTAAGCACATACACGTGTATGTATTTGCATGCAAGAGAGGGACTCTTCATCAGGGACTGCAGTGACAGGACAAGGGGTGATGGGTTCAAACTGAAACAGGGGAAGTTCAGTTTGGATCTAAGGCAGAAGCTCTTCCCTGTGAGGGTGCTGAGGCGCTGGCACAGGGTGCCCAGAGAAGCTGTGGCTGCCCCATCCCTGGCAGTGCTCAAGGCCAGGTTGGACACAGGGGCTTGGAGCAAGCTGCTCCAGTGGAAGGGGTCCCTGCCCATGGCAGGGGTTGGAGCTGGAGGAGCTTTAAGGTCCCTTCCAAACCATTCTGTGATCCTACGTGTGAACACATGCGCACCCTTAGTGTGCAGCCTGGCCTCCGGGCTCTCAGCTCCTGTCATCCTGCTGTGCTCTGCTTTAGCAGCCTCCTGCTTACTACTACTCACACTGCACCCACTTCTACCCCACTCAGCTCTACAATGAAGAGATCCTGGACCTGTTTGATAGTGCCCGTGACCCTGACGTGCGCCATCGCAAATCGAACATCAAAATCCATGAGGATGCCAGTGGAAGCATCTACACTACAGGGGTTACGTCACGCCTCATCAACTCACAGGATGAGGTGGGTGTGGAATGGGGCAGATACGGGTGCTCACTGACCAGGGATGTGGGGTGATCTCACCCAGAAGGGAACAGAGCAGCCCTGGAGTGATGCAGAGGCAGCTCGGTGTGCTCACTGGGCTGTCCTGCCTCCCTAAAGGATACTTTTAAGGTTTCCCTCTTCCCTGCTCCGTGTTGTTGTAGCTGATCCAGTGCCTGAAGCAGGGAGCCCTTTCCCGCACCACGGCCAGCACCCAGATGAATGTGCAGAGCTCCCGGTCCCACGCCATCTTCACCATTCACCTCTGCCAGATGAGAGTGTGCACCCGCCCGGAGCTGGTGAGATGCGCTCCTGCCTCACGGCTGGGCTCTTCCTGCATCGAATACCCGGGCGATATGTGTGAGGTCCTTTGGAAAGGGGAAAGGGTTTGAAGTCTTGCAGAGAGAGGCAGGGGTTTGTCTTTTTCTTTCCAGTCATAGCCTGTATTAGCATTTAATGGGAGCTGAGGTCTGCAGTCCCATGCAAAGCAGGGACGGTCTGGCCCAAGGGATGGCCCAGAGCAAGCTGCTGTTGGCATCGTCTCCCCCATCCTTGAGGGACTAGGTGTGGAGAGCAAATGCTGGGGCTTTTGCTGACATGTGAATGCAGCCAGGAATCCATGGTGATGATCCTCTCCATGTGGCTGCAGATGAATGGGGAGGTGACCAGCCTCCTGGATGGATCTCAACCCACCACAGAGTATGAGACCCTCACTGCCAAGTTTCACTTCGTGGACCTGGCTGGCTCAGAGAGGCTGAAACGAACGGGTGCTACCGGCGAGAGGGCCAAGGAAGGCATCTCCATCAACTGTGGACTGGTACGACCCTGGGCACAGCACACAAGGGGAGGGGAAGCCTGTGACACCTTTGGGTCCTGCTTGGGGCTGCTCTGGGCTTTTGGGGTTGCTGTTGTCTCTGCTGGGGTTTATGCTACCTGATTGTGTAGGCATGAGGATGCACAATCCAAAATGCCAGTGGTGAGGGCATAGCTAGGGCAGGACTATGGGGAGGGGTACAGCTGGGTGCAAGGGTTTAAGTCCCCAGAAGGTTGAGATCCCCTAATTTAAGCTAGAAAAACCCTCCAGGGGCCAATGTTGCTCCTCAGGGAATGCAGGAGAGAGGCACAGCCACGGGAAAGGGGGTGAATGCTGAGACTGGCAAGGGAAGCCCCATCCCTCCACCTCTCCCATGCCAAAGCTCTGCCACAGCACATGTCGCAGCGCTGATGCGCTGGCCACGCACATCAGAAGCAGCAGTGTTCTTAGCAGGGGTGGAATTTGGGAGGGTCTTTCCTTTGTTTTGGTAGCTGGCCCTGGGGAACGTCATCAGTGCCCTCGGAGACCAGAGCAAGAAGGTTGTGCACGTGCCCTACCGTGACTCCAAGCTCACCCGCCTGCTGCAGGATTCCCTTGGGGGCAACAGGTAAGGGGGTCCCAGGCTGGGACTGAGCCCTGCGAGAGGTCTGCGGGTCTATGGAGCCATGGAGGAGCTATTTCAGGATTTAAATCGTGGAATCATAGAACGGTTTGGGTTGGAAAAGACCTTAAGAGCATCCGCTTCCAACCCCCTGCCATGGGCAAGGACGCCTCACACTAGACTGTTCTGCTCAAGGCTCTGTCCAGCTCTGGGATGGAACATTCACAAGTTCTCTCAGCAACCCGTGCCAGTGCCTCAGCACCCTCATAGGGAAGAACTTCTCTCTGTGCCTCAGATCCCACCTGAACTTCCCCTGTTTCAGTCTGAACCCATCACCCCTTCTCCTATCACTGCAGTCCCTGATGAAGAGCCCCTCCCCAGCATCCTTGTAGCCCCCTTCAGACACTGGAAGCTGCTCTGAGGTCTCCACGCAGCTTCTCTTCTCCAGGCTGAACAGCCCCAGTGTTCTCAGCCTGGCTCCATACAGGAGCTGCTCCAGCCCCTGACCATCCTCCTGGCCTCTTCTGGGCCTCGTGCGCTGCCTGGTGGGGAGGAGATGCCTCCTGGCAGGCAGTGTATGACCTTGCAGATATAAAGACCTTGGTTCCTCATGTGTCCCTGGTGCAATTAGCCAGCTTTGGCAGAATTAGCTGGTGCAAAGCACTTCGTATCCCTTGTGATCCAGGACTTGGCATGTGGTGCTGCCCAGCACGGGATGGACTGAATTCCCTGTCTACTTTGGGTGCACTACTGTGGCTCTACTTCTCTGAAGAGCCCATTATTCCCCAGCAATCCTAGTGTGTCTTAGCTGGCCAGCGGAGGTTGGCTTTGTCCAGTGCTGTGTGATGTGTTGTGGGGTTCTGGGTCTGGGAGGCACTGAATCCTGGTTATACCTTGGGTATAGAACACAGAAGGGCCTAGGATGGGTGTCCAGGGGTGGACTGTGTTGGGTTCCAGGTTTCCAGGTACTGAGTTGGTGCAGGGTAGGGGGAGCTGTCCTTTCACCCTGGTCTTTGCCTCCCCAAGCCAAACCATCATGATCGCGTGTGTGAGCCCCTCTGACCGGGACTTCATGGAGACCCTGAACACGCTCAAGTACGCCAACCGGGCCCGCAACATCAAGAACAAGGTGGTGGTGAACCAGGACAAGACAAGTCAGCAGATCAGTGCCCTGAGGGCCGAGATCGCCCGCCTGCAGATGGAGCTGATGGAGTACAAGGCGGTGAGTGAGCCTGCAGAGATGGGATGGAGGCAGGAGTTGAAGCTATTCTTCGTGTTTCATTGTGGCAGGTTTAGCAGGAGAGACCCTCCTGCCAGCCATGCTCTGCCCCTAGTGCTAAGAGTAACTGCTGCGGGAGGTCAGAAGGTTTAAGGAGTGGGGGCTCAGCTCCTGCCTGGCCACAGCAGAACCTTGGGCAAGTCACTTGGGGATGCAAAGGCAGGGAGAAGCCTTGAAGCATCTCTCACCTTCTGCCTCTCCTTGGCCCTTGGATTTGCCCCTGCCCCTGCTTTGGTGGCTGGGGCGGCCCTCAGGGATGCAGTGGTGGGCCCCACACTCCAGCTCACCCTGCACTCAGGACTGTCTCCTCCTGTCCCCACAGGGAAAGCGGGTCATTGGGGAGGATGGCTCAGAAGGCTACAGCGACCTGTTCCGTGAGAATGCCATGCTGCAGAAGGAGAACAGCACCCTGCGCATGCGGGTGAAGGCCATGCAAGAGGCCATTGATGCCATCAACAGCAGGGTCACCCAACTCATGAGCCAGGAGGCCAACCTCATGCTGGCTAGGGCAGGTGAGGCTGGGCTAAGTGCGAGGTGTGGTGGGTCAGCTCAGCCACTGTAGCTGGGATGGGTGCACAGGTACAGCCTGTGTCTTGCCTTGACCCACCTGCACCTCTGCTCCTCCAGGAGATGGTAATGAAGCTATTGGCACCCTCATCCAGAACTACATCCGGGAGATCGAAGAGCTGAGGTGAGCTGGGCATGGGTGCTGTGGGTCCCCAGGGTGCCCGGGCTCTGCAGGAGCTGTGGTGGGGTCTGAGCCCTGGGGTGGCTCAGAGCTGCATGCCTGCAGCATCACTGGGGTGAGTGAAAAGCCTTGCTGGAGTAGCAACTGACTACACTGCAGCTACACTGGGGCTGTGAGAGTCCCAGGCACTGTTTGGCTGTTGTCGTCCTTTGTTTGGCCATTGATAGAGGGGGAGATCCTGGTATAGAAATGCTTGGTGTTTCCCAGGAACCACTGGCCCCCTAAAGCTGAGTCCATCCCAGTCTCTTGCGTGATCTTGCAGCATTCTGACCCAATATAAATGGGAATGACTGTCCCTGGCTCACACTATCCTACAACCAGGCAAGGTCCAATCCTGTGGGGACAGTGGGATGTCTCTTCTTTGACCACGTGCTGTCTTCACTCCCTAGGACGAAGCTCCTGGAGAGTGAGTCCATGAATGAGTCCCTGCGTCGCAGCCTCTCCCGCGTCTCTGCTCGGGCCCCATATCCCATGGGCTCATCCCCAGGCTCCAGCCTGGCTGGGCTGTGTAGCCCTGCTGCACCGGTGGACACGGAGGCTTCCGATGTCCTTCGACGGGCCAAGCAGGACCTGGAGCGCCTCAAGAAGAAAGAAAGGAGGCAGCGGAGGAAGAGGTGAAGGCATCTACTGTGGGGTGTTGGGGAGGGGGATGTCCATGTCAGTCCAGCAGTGTCGAGTCAGGGATACAGCTGCCCTCATCTGTGTGGAAGCCAGAGCACTGAGACAGAGCCCAGGTTCCCCTCTCAGCACTGCCTTGATCTCCTTGTCACCCTCCATGCTATCCTGGAGGCCGTTTTGCCCCAGAGGTCCAAAACCAGGAGACAAGGGGGGCCCCCAGCAGGACCTGTCCCCAGTCTCCCTGACACTGGCCTTCACCAGCACCCCTCTGCTTTCCTCCAGCCCAGAGAAGGAAGCATTTAAGAAGAGGCAGAAACTGCAGCAGGACAATGAGGAGGAGACTGATGAGAATGAGGTGGAAGAGGTGAGTGTGCTTCATGCTCATAGCGAGGGGACATGTGGTTGAGGAGCATTGTCATTGCCCCATGTGGAAGAGAGACCAAGCTCAGCCTCATCCTGCAAGCAGGTGAGAGGGGTTGTGGAGATGAGGACTCAGTGCTGGAACAGGGGGGGAACTGGTTGCTCCCCAGCCAGCCCTGCTGTGGAGCAGGAAGTTCTCTTCTTCTATGATTCTATGATCTTCTGGGGCTTGGTTTCAATATGCTTAGGCAAATTGGGGCTGGGTGATGCAGTTACTCTGCTGGGAGGAGATGGATGCAGGAATGAATAGGGCACAGGGCTGCTCCCTTCAAGTGTGGATGCTGGATGTCCAGAAATGGTGCTGCAGCCTTTGGGCATCCCACGTGGGAGGCTGAGTCCTGCTGTGTGAGCTGCAGCACATCAGTGAGGGGTGAGCTCAGGTTTGGAGGAGGGAAGAGCTGCAGAGAGAAGGGCAAAGCTGTTCTGCAAGCTGAGGTTAAGCACTCATCCTTCAGGAGGAAGAGGATCAGGATGAGAGCGGCTGTGAGGAGGAAGAAGGACGTGAGGATGAAGACGAGGATTCGGGCAGTGAAGAGAGCCTGGTGGACTCAGACTCAGACACAGAGGAGAAGGGTAAAGTGCAGAGCCACACATGCAGCCCATGGTATAGGGGTGCATTTGTTCATGTCCCCTAGCGCTGAGCTCTGGTCCTGGGAAGGGAGAGCCCAGCCACCTCTCTAAGGGGCTTAGAAAGCACCAGGATTGTTGCAAGGTGTCTCCAGTACTCTTTGTGGTACTGCTGCTCTCTAGCAGTGTGGGTTCCCATGCGCTCCCTCTGCCCTCTCCATGTGCTGTGGCTCACTGGGGCTATGAGAGTGATGCTGCCCCATCCCTCCCAGCCTGACTGTTCCCCTCTGGCCTGCAGCCGTGAACTTCCAGGCTGACCTGGCAGATCTGACTTGTGAGATAGAGATCAAGCAGAAGCTGATCGATGAGCTAGAGAACAGCCAGCGGCGCCTGCAGACCCTCAAGCACCAGTACGAGGAGAAGCTGATCCTGCTGCAGAACAAGATTCGGGACACGCAGCTGGAGCGGGACCGGGTCCTGCAGAACCTCAGTGAGAAATGACTGGGAAATCCCCTCCCTGCAGTGCTGGGCCCCAGTGCCTGCTCTTACCCAGCTGACTCAGAGCCAAAGCATCCACCCCCTGCATGCAGTGCTGGCTTTGGTACAGCTTTGCTATCTCTTTGCCTCTGCTTGAGCCCATGGGATTCCCAAGACCCTGCTTGTCTGGGTCTTGCTGCCGGTGAGCTGGAGAGCTCCTGACCCCACTGGAGGTGGAGAGGTGGCTGGAAAGGACGGCAAAGCAAAGCCCCTTCTAGCCTTGAACACCCCTTCATGACATGTGGGAACACTTGGGAAAGCTTGACGGTCTGCTGAGGGACACATGAAGAGCCCAGAGACCTGGTGGTGTAGCTAATCCTGGCTCAGCAGGGCAGGATCACCCATGTCGAGGTCTGCAGCTCCTCTCAGCCCAGTGGTTGTGCTGAAACCCACTGTCTCCAACCTGTGCTGAACCCTAACCCAGCTCTTTTAGTGGATGCCCCCAGACAGAGCCCAGCCTGTGATGGGGCCAGAGCAGAGGGATGTGGAGGGAGCAGTGACCTGTGCCTCCAGTGCAGGAGGAGCCCGGGGTGGATGGCTATCACAAGCTCTCTCCTTGCTCCTCTAGGTACTATGGAGTGCTACACAGAGGAGAAAGCCAACAAGATCAAAGCAGACTACGAGAAGCGGCTGAAGGAGATGAACCGGGACCTGCAGAAGCTCCAGGCAGCCCAGAAGGAGCATGCTCGCCTGCTCAAGAACCAGTCCCGCTACGAGCGGGAGCTGAGGAAGCTGCAGGCAGAGGTGACCGAGATGAAGAAGGCAAAGGTACCTGGTCAAGTCTGCCTGCTCACAAGCGATGTTTCCCACTCGTGTCCTGGTGGCAAGTGCAGGACATCTGTGTGGTTGGATGGATGCCTTGGACAATTGGGTGCCTGACCCAACTCATGGTACCACGATCCCACCGCAGGTGGCACTGATGAAGCAGATGCGGGAGGAGCAGCAGCGCAGGCGTCTGGCAGAGACAAAGAGGAACCGGGAGATAGCGCAGCTCAAGAAGGAGCAGCGGCGGCAGGAGGTGAGAGCCCAGCGCCCGCAGGTGGTCGCCCAGTGTGGTGGGAAGTGGCTGAATGGCTCCCGAGGGCTTCCCACGCTCTTGGCATGGTTGTGGGGTGATGTGCCATTAGGGCTAGCTTGAGGCTGGAAACCTGCTCACTTTAAAACCAAGAGTGAGGCTGTTTGTGCCAAAATAACTGCCCCAAGTTTTGGTCCTAGGAGTCTCAGGGCTATGGCCATCACTGGGGTGTCTGGGCAGGACCCCAGGGGTGTGTGTCTCTCTCATGCAGTTTCAGATCCGGGCTCTGGAGTCTCAGAAGCGGCAGCAGGAAATAGTGCTGCGGAGGAAAACTCAGGAGGTGAGGAGAGGGATGGGTTTGCCTCCATGTAGCCCCCATGGGGGTCCTGACTGCAGTGCTTGGCTTAGAGACACCCTGTCCTTCAGTGAGTGCCAGCTCTGGGAGCAGGCCTCCCAAAAGGGTGGGAGGATTTTTATGGCTCCTGGGGGAGAAGTGAGGCCTTCTAGAGCAGACTGAGAGGGGATCCCGTCAGTGCAGATCAATATCTCAAAGGTGGGTGCCTGCAGGATGGTGCCAGACTATTTTCAGTGGTGCTCAGTGACAGGATGAGGAGCAATGGCCATAAACTAAAGCACGAGAGGTTTCACCTGAACATAAGGGAGAACTTCCCATTGAGGGAGGCAGAGCACTGGAGAGGCTGCCCAGGGGGGTTTGGAGTCTTCCTCTCTGTAGATATTCCAAACCCGCCTGGACACGTTCCTGTGTGCCCTGCTCTGGGTGGCCCTGTCTTGGCAGGGGTTGCACTGGATGATCTCCAGAGGGCCCTTCCAACCCTAAGGATTCCAGGATTCAGTGTAACCAGGTGGGAGATGGTTGCAGGCAGCAGGGGATGGTGTATGAGGCAGAAGGGAGACATCCATGAGGCGTGAACACCCCCAGTGCTTTAGGTCTCCAGAGCTGCCGCTCTTTGTCTATGGGAACCTGGGGGTGATAGAAGAGCTTTGGGGTGGGGATGCCCATCTGACGCCTTCTCTCCACCCTGCGCAGGTCTCGGCGCTGCGCCGCCTCGCTAAGCCCATGTCTGAGCGGGTGGCGGGCAGGACGAGCCAGAAGCCGGCCATGCTGGACTCGGGTGCCGAGGTCTCGGCTAGCACCACATCCTCCGAGCCCGAGTCTGGCGCTCGCTCCGTCTCCAGCATTGTGCGCCAGTGGAACAGGAAGATCAACAACTTCCTGGGAGACCCCTCGTCCCCTGCGAACGGGGCTCGGCCCCCCAGGTCAGGGCAGGGGCTGTGGGAGTAGGTGATGCTGCACCCCAGGACTCCCATGCCTGGCTTTTGGCTGGTGCTAGAGGGTGAAGGCCAGCCTCTTGCTGGTGTTAAACCATTGACCCAGTGACAGGCTGTACTGGCAGCATGTGGCTGACTGTCCCCTGGGCTTAAGCCCAGAGCTGTCCCTCCATAAGTGTTAAATGCCATGACACAAAGCCCACTGGGCTCAGCTCTTGTCCCTTTCTTTGCTAAGGGGCAATTGAAAAGTTGGGCAGTCTAGAAACCATGCAGATGCTTCCTCTGCTCCTGGCCAGCCAGAGCCCACCTGGGGCATTCTTTTGGGGCAAGCATGGCTTTCCAGGAACGGTGCAGCCAGTGGCCCATGTGTCTCTTCTTCCCTTTGGCTGTAGGAAGAAGTTCCCCAAGAAGGGGACGAGTCAGACTTTCAGCAAAGCCGCCCGCCTCAAGTGGCAGTCGCTGGAGCGGCGAATCTTTGACATCGTCATGCAGAGAATGACTATTGTTAACCTGGAGGCTGACATGGAGCGGCTCATCAAGGTGACCATAGAACCATAGAATCAACCAGGCTGGGAAAGCCCTTTAATCCCATCCAGTCCAACCCTTACCCCAGCCCTGCCAAGGCCACCCCTAACCCATGGCACTGAGGCCTCGTCTCCACGCTGTGTGAACACTTGCAGGGACGGTGCCTGCAGCCCTGCCCTGGGCAGCCTGTTCCAATGCCTGAGCACCCTCTGGGGCAGGAATTGTTCCTCAGCTCCATCTAAACCTGCCCTGGTGCAGCTTGAGGCCGGTTCCTCTTGTCCCATCCCTTGTTCCTTGGGAGCAGAGCCCAGCCCCTCCTGGCTCCATCCTCCTGTCAGGTAGTTGGAGGCAGCCATCAGGTCCCCCCTGAGCCTTCTCCAGATTAAAGCCCCCAGGTCCCTCAGACATTCCTCATCAGACATGTGCTCCAGGCCCTGCACCGTGGTGCTGTGGACAGAGAAGGCTGGGTGGCGGGTGCAGGGCAGGGGCACAGCCATGCTCCCAGTGCTGATCCTATTCCCTTTCTCCTCAGAAACGCGAGGAGCTGACCCTGCTGCAGGAAGCGTTGCTAGGCAAGAGGTCAAAACTGCAGGCAGAGAATCCCAAGGGGCTGCAGGAGCTGAACGAGGAGATCGAGGTGCTGGCGGCCAACATCGACTACATAAACGACAGCATTTCTGACTGCCAGGCCACCATCATGCAGATCGAGGAGACCAAGGTGCGTGGTTGGACTGGGCTAGACAGGAACAGAGAGAACAGGAGCATCATTGGGAAGTGAAGGGTGTCACTGGGAAGAGCTAGGCTGGGTGTCCTCCAGTGCTATGTCACACACTCGGCGGGGCTGCATCTTCACAGTCTCTTCTCATTAGGTGGTTAATTGTGGAGGGGAGCACTGCCAGTTCCTTCCATGTCCATGGGCAGGCTGCCAGTGCCCCACAGATTCTAGGGAAGCTGCAGCCCCTGTCCTGCCTCTGAGGGACTGGCAGTCACTTGTCCCCATGGATGTTTTATTTGGAAATGTCCCAGTGAAGACTGGCTTGTTTCCCAGTAGAAACCCTGCAGGTACCACATCCAGTCTAGACACTGGGCATGCTGCAGGGATGCTGTGCAGCTCCTGGCTCACTTCTAGTGCTTGCAGCCAGGACAGGAGGCTGTGTGCTGGCCCTGGCTTGTCCCCAGCTGTCACCTGGATTGACGGGGCAGAAGCGCATGTTGTTAATTCACACTGGCCTTTGGGTTAGTGACCTCATCTGCTTGTGTCTGCCCCAGGATTTCTGTAGTAGCACAGAAGCCCTTCAGGTTGCATTGACCAGATCTCCCCAGTAGCCACTTGGGCAGAATGGGGAGGTTGGGACTGGGCAGCGCTGTGGAAGTGCTGTGCTGGCCATGGAGCCTGCTCTGCCTGTGCCACATCCAGCGGCAAAGCTCCCGCGCTGCATCCCGTGCCCGTTCCTCCCGTTTCAGGAGGAGCTGGACTCCACAGACACCTCGGTGGTGATCAGCTCCTGCTCCCTTGCCGAAGCCCGGCTCCTGCTGGACAACTTCCTGAAGGCCTCCATCGACAAGGTGCGGCACCACGGGTTGTGATGGGATGGCTCATGGAAGGGGGGCAGGTTGCCGGGGGGTGGACCTGCTGGTGGGACCCAAGCCCAGACCTGAGGCCCTCCATGGCCATCATTGCGCAGGGGCTGCAGGTAGCACAGAAGGAGGCCCAGATCCGCCTGCTGGAGGGGCGGCTGCGGCAGACAGACATGGCCGGCTCCTCGCAGAACCACGCCATCCTGGACGCGCTGCGGGAGAAGGCTGAGTCGCACCCCGAGCTGCAGGCCCTGATCCACAACGTCCAGCAAGGTGGGACCTGGGGCTGGTGCATCCAGTTTGCGGCCATGAACTAAAGCACCAGAGGCTTCACCTCAACAGGAGGAAGCTCTCCTCCCCACTGAGGGTGCAGAGCACTGGGGCAGGCTGCAGGGGGTTGTGGAGTCTCCCTCCCTGGGGACGTTCAAACCCACCATGGACACGTTCCTGTGTGCCCTGCTCGGGGTGGCCTTGCCTTGGCAGGGTTGCACTGGATGATCTGCAGAGGGCCCTTCCAACCCTAAGGATTCCGGGATACTGGGCCCAGGCATGCTGCCTGTGGGGAGAGTTGCCCAGCTGTGATGGTCCTCCCAAGAAGCACTTGGGGGTGCCATGGCTGTGACCAGCGTGCCCAGGGCTGCCCTGAGGGTGATGCTGGGCAGGGATGTGTGTGCTGGTCACCACACAACAGGGATGAGGACCAGGTCCCCGTGTCCCCGCCCCACAACTGCTTGGGCTGCCCCCTGCACTGCACAGCTCAGATGTTGCTGGACACAGAGGGGTCCCCCCTGCACTGCTGATGCGCTGTGTCCTTCCTGCACAGAGAACGGCTACACCAGCACGGACGAGGAGGTCTCAGAGTTCAGCCTGGCTTCAGATGGGAGGTGAGCACCCAGCCAGGCCCTCCAGCCGAGCTGGAGGAGGCCAGGAGTGGGGTAGGATGTGTGGTGCCACCCATGGGACCTCGCAGGGGGACATGGATGAACAAAGCCTCACCTATGGTGCCCAGCCCTTGGGAAGGGGAGCAGAGATGTCTCTTACACACCTGCAGAGAACAAAAACTAGGTCATTCCTTGGAGAAGGGGTGCTGGGGAGCAGGGGGTGACTCAAGGAGTCTAGTGTGCCAGTGGCAACCAGCTCTCTGGAAGGAGTTTTGCACTGAAGATCCACCTTTGTTCCCTTCTCTTTGTACAGCATCTCCCAGTCTTTCACCATGAAGGGTTCAGCAAGCCAGGATGACTTCAAGTTCAAGGTTGGTCTTTCTGTGTGCCCCATCACAGGGAATGGGAGGAGGGATGGAGGGGCATGTTGTTCAGTGATGGCCTAGGCCTCTGCTCTGTAGTCTGACCCTTGGCATAAGGCAGTCTGGCTGGTCTCTGGGTGGGGGCAGCTCTAGGGAAGAGGGTGCCATGGTCCTCTGAAGCACCAGAGGCTTGGGAAGCATCCACCACAACAGCCACCAAGGAAGTCCTTGTGTTGTGCTGCATTCGTGTAGGCAAAGGTGGAAGAGAGCACCATTGTTCTGCACAGGCTTAGAGTATGTAAAGCCAGCACGACACAGGAGGAACTCCATCTCCTGTGGCCAAAGAGAATGAGCTCTTCCACCCTACAACTCTCTGCTTGTTCCTGCTGTCCCTCCCCATGCTGCCTGTGACTGAGCCCTCTGTCTGCTCTAGGGAGAGCCCAAGCTCTCGGGGCAGATGAAGGCAGTGTCAGCTGAGTGTCTAGGACCCACGCTGGATGTCTCCACCAAGAACATCACCAAGTCCCTGGCATCCCTCATGGAGATCAAAGAGGATGGGATCAGCTTCTCCGTCAGAGACCCCTATTACAAGGAGAAGGTGTCACGCACCATCAGCCTGCCCACACGAGGAAGCACCTTGTGAGCATGGGGTGGTGGGTCTCTGGGCAGTGGGAGGCTCATGCAGGGTGGGAAGCTGTGTCCTGGCTGTGGACTTGCAGAGAGGTGAGGGTGAGCCCAATCCTGCATCTATCCAGGCTTGTCTGCAGCAAGCAGTGGGGCATTTCTCCAGCAGGACTTGGAAAGTATCTAGGAGTATGCTGATATCCTCTGCAGACGGAGAGGAGGGTACTCCAGGAGAAGGGAAAGAAGGGTCCCCAACTCACTGTTCTGGGTTATCAGCCTTCTTAAAGGCTTCTTGGATTACCAAAAGCCTCTGTGCTCATCGGGTGACTTGAGGCATCTCTGATCTTGTGATTGTGACTGTAAAGCAGCCCAACTTCTCCATTTGCTCTGCTGGGAAAGGCCACTGGTGTTCAGCATGGAGGTGTCCCAGCAGGGGCAGCAGGCACCCACTCTGCTCTCTTTCCCTCACTTCAGTCCCAGGCAGTCTCGTGGCTCGGACACTTCACCTCTGACCAGGAGGAAATCCTACGACCGTGGCCAGCCTGCCAGGTGAGCCTGGGAGCTGGGAAAGAGCAGCATGGGCATGGAGAGGCTGGATGGTCCAGACAAGTGAGGAAAGATGCTGGATGGACCAGCCCTTGCTGTGCCAGGCAGCTGCCAGTAAGCAGCTCCCAAGTGACGTGTCCCTCTGATCCTTCCTGGCTCAGGCCTCCAGATGTTGGCTTCACGCCTCCCTCATCCCCACCCACCCGTCCACGCAACGACCGCAATGTCTTCTCTCGTCTCACGAGCAACCAGAGCCAAGGGTCTGCCCTGGACAAGTAAGTCCTGGGGGGGTGGGAGCATCTGAGTGAGGGGGACCCATTCCACAACAGCAAAGAGCATGTGTTGCTCTTCAGTGGGGTATAGGAGCACAGGACCTCTGTCAGCTCCAGCCCATTCTTCTAACACCATTTTCATGTCCTGCTCCTGTTCATGAGGGACCTGATGGTCTGCAAGGGCCACACTGGACCACTGCCCCCTCCTGCCTGCTATGTGTCCCCACCGAGCTGTCTGCTTGCAGGAGCTTGCAGCCACGGCTTCTGCCTGTACCCTACATGGAGACAGGGCAGTGCCACACTTGGACCACTGGGAAAGGCTATGGAGCAGGATGGTGTGAGGTGGGATGGGGGCTTGCAGGAAGCTGATGGACTGCCACCAACTCAAAAATGCTGCTCCAGCTTTCCCTTGCAGCAGACTGGGGACCTGCCCTCGACTTGGAGCTTTTCTAGAACCGCTGATGTTCCTTGATGGAGACCTGTTGTCTGATCCTCATATGCCCTCCTGCTCCTCTGCTCTCTCTTCTGGTTCTCCACATGTGCTTCTCTTCCCTCTTTTCCCTCCCCCTCCTTCCTGTCCTGCACTGGCCTGGATGCAATAACAATCCTCCACCTCTGACTCCTCTGCTACCTCTTCTCGTCTGGGTTTTCTCTCCCATAATCCTGCTAATTTTCTGCCCCTAGGTCTGATGACAGCGATTCCTCTGTCTCGGAGGTGCTGAGGTATAGACAACTTTCTATTTATTACCCCTTCCTTCTCTTCTCCTCCTTCTCTCTGTCCCACGAGCCTGCTCTCCCTCACCCCTGCATGCTTCACCTACACCTTGCTGCTCTCCCTCACCTCCCGTCCTGTGTGTGCTGGCCCCTCTTGGCATGCCACCTCTAGTGTCTTGATGCCGTCCCCTCGGTGGCGAGTTTGAATCATTCCTGCTCTGAGAAGCCCTTGGAAATGTGGTGTTAGTCTCACCTACAGGCACTGGATGGTTTGGGGTGGCAGCATGTTGTTCTCTATCTCTGATGGGTTCTTGTCAGCATGATGCCACAACATCCCGTCCTGTTCCCCAGATCTCCAGCAGGATGGTGTGATGCTGGGGAAAGGGGAAGCAATGCTGGGAGCTCCTAGTGTGTCTTTTTTGCAAGCATCTTCCAGGCAGATAATTCCAGGTGCTCTCTGAACCTGGTTGTTCTTCCCTCATGCTGGGTTGTGGGTAGATCTCCTTCCCACAGAAACCAGGTCAAATTGTAGTGCAGTGGCCAGCCTGGGCATTCAGATGCTCCTGATCCCACTGCACCCTCCTGCCTATGGAGGTTTCCCAGCCACCTTTCCTGCAACTTTTAGGAACATCAGCCCTCCAGCACCCAGGTGTCCTCTCACATTGCCCATGCCCTGGGCAGTTGGCACCAGATGAGTCTGCAGTGTCACCTGGGGTGGTTTGCAGTCAGGCAGCATCACAAAGTCCCATCGATAACATCTGGCCCTGAGAGCCAGGATCCCATTTGCATTCAGTGTCAACTCGACTGGAGGAAACACTAGAGGTCAGGACAGGGCTGTTTAATTTGAGCTTGGAAGTGCAGCTGCTGAGGTGACAGGCGTCTGTTTTCTAAACTCAGATGAATGAGTCTGTTTGTCCTAATGACTAATGTAAACCTTTTGTGGCCTTGGGTCTGGCCTTCTCCACCCCTATGCCTCAGTTTCCCTGCCTATGAGAAGAGACAAGCACAATGCAGGCTGCTTTGGATCATCAGCTGGGAAGAGCTGATGGTGGCCATGCACACTAGGGTCTTCAAGAGTCTGAAGGGTAGGGCTGTTGGTTCTCAGTATCCTGAGCACTGCCAGAGTGGAGGGGATGCTGTCTTGAGAGGGATAGGCAGCAAGTGTCCCTTGGAGGAAGGTTTGGCAGGGATAGGTCCTCTCCAGCTCAGAGCCAGTGGTGGCTGCAGGGTTTTCACAGCAACAGGGATGTGGGGTGTAAATACCTGTGCTGTCCTTCGTATCCTTATATAAGGAACAGTGGCCCTGTCTCCAAATGTCACCAGCCCCAGGCTGACAGCCTCCAAGCACCTGGGTGCTGGGGTTTGGTACCCTGAAGCATTTATCACAGCAGAGCTTCAGGCTAAAGAAGGTGCAGTTTGTCCCAAGGACAGACTGGGTCTCCTGGCTCCTTGGCTCTGCGCTGGCCAGGCATGAGAGGTTCATCAGGAGAGCAGAGGCCGCTGCGCAGCCCCTGACTTTCCCGGTGTGTGTTGGTGGGGCAGGGGCTGCTCCTGGGGAGATTCCTGGGGTATCCATGAAGATCATTGCTCAGATGTGCTGGGTTCAGATGGAGGGGCCCTGTGGCACTGCCACATGGTGGAAGATGCTTGGTATGAGGCAGCTCTTGTTCTCCCATGCCCTCAGGACTGTGTATGTAGTGTGGTGCCTTCCACACACACCGCATCACGCTTGTTCTTTCTTTCTTTCCCATGCAAGGGGTGTCATTAACCCGGTGGGTGGCACCAAGAATGCCCGGACAGCCCCGCTGCAATGCGTCTCCATGGCAGAAGGACACACCAAGCCTGTGCTCTGCCTGGATGCCACTGATGAGCTGCTGTTCACTGGGTCCAAAGGTGCGTGGTGGACAGTGAGGACAGGGGGGTTGCTGGCCTGCAGATATTGTGGGAGCAGCAGGTCAGCATGGGGATGGTTGCTCTCTTCAACTGCCTGAGAGGAGGATGGAGCCAGGAGGGGCTGGGCTCTGCTCCCAAGGAACAAGGGATGGGACAAGAGGAACCGGCCTCAAGCTGCACCAGGGCAGGTTTAGATGGAGCTGAGGAACAATTCCTGCCCCAGAGGGTGCTCAGGCATTGGAACAGGCTGCCCAGGGCAGGGCTGCAGGCACCGTCCCTGCAAGTGTTCACACAGCGTGGAGACGAGGCCTCAGTGCCATGGGTTAGGGGTGGCCTTGGCAATATTGGGGAATGGTTGGACTTGATGAGCTTCAGGGTCTTTTCCAGCCTGGTTGATTCTAGGATTCTATGTGAAGTGCTGGACACCATGGGGATGATTTCTCCTGGGCTTCTTGTCTGTCCTCAGCATTGAGCCTTGCCATAGCCTGCCCCAGCGCTGTGGCTGGCTCCTTTCCTCTGACTCTGAGGGTGTGGGGAGGTGATGCTCAGAGAAGGTATTGCCCTCAAGTCACCATGGCTTTGGAGGGACACTTCCACCATCTTGACACTCCTGGGCATGTCCTTCCTCCCACAGACCGAAGCTGCAAAATGTGGAACCTGGTAACAGGCCAAGAAATTGCTTCCCTCAAGGGTCACCCAAACAACGTGGTTTCCATCAAGTACTGCAGCCACACGGGGCTGGTGTTCACTGTGTCTACGTCATACATCAAAGTGTGGGACATCCGGGACTCAGCCCGCTGCATCCGCACCCTCACGTATGTGGCAGACACGAGAAGCTGGGGGGGACCACGGCCTTCTCTGGGCATCTCTGGCTTTGCAGAAACCAATGCCAGGAGCTACTGAGGCTGGGGACAGGGCCAAATACCAGCTGCTTTAGTGCCAGCACTACATCCTTAAGGAACCGGGAGGCTGGGAGAAAGCTTGGGGTGAGGGGACCCATGCGGTTCCTCAGTGGGGCCTCAGTGTCTCTGGTCTCCACTCATCCTCCCTGCTTGACCTTTGTCTCCCTTAGATCTTCTGGACAGGTGATCTCTGGGGATGCCTGTGCTGGGACCAGCACCCGCACGGTCACCAGTGTGCAGGGGGAGCACCAGATCAACCAGATTGCTCTGAACCCCACTGGCACCATGCTCTATGCTGCCACTGGGAACTCCGTCCGCATCTGGGAGCTGAGCAGGTGAGGTGCTGGGGTGGGCAGGACAGCTTATGGAGTGGACACTGTCTATCCATAGTGGACACTGTCTGCTCAGAGGCGCCTAAAATAACTCCCCCGGGAAATGGAAAGCCTTTTGAGCAATAGAACTTGCCTGAAATAAGGACTTTCAGGACCCTTTCCTATGAGACCCAAGGGGTGATGAGCAGCAGTGGAGCTACTTGGGGGTGAGAGTTTGTCCGTGAGCTGGCCAGAGCTTAGGAGAAGGGGAAGGAAATGTGGGATGAGCAGCAGTACATCCTGGTTTTGCCCTTGCCTCCCTCCCTGCCAGGTTTGCACTGACTCCTTGCTGCAGCCTAGGCTCTGGAGCCAAATCTGGGCATGCCTTGAGGTCTCCTTCCTCCTGGCATCAGCAGGAATAGGGTTGTCCCTGCTCACAGTCTCCCAAAATGAACAACCCCTATGGGAATCCTTTCCTGGGAGAGCCCTTTGGACGAGCTCCAGCACCCAGGAAGGGGCTAGCTGACCCATGTTGTTGAACTCAGGTTGCAGCCCATCGGGAAGCTGAGTGGCCACATTGGGCCTGTGATGTGTCTCACAGTAAACCAGACGGCGAGCAACCACGACCTGGTGGTCACAGGCTCCAAAGATCACTATATCAAGGTACTCACCTCCCCCGAGAGCAGAGCCCTGTGTCACACTGGGAAGCCCAAATGTTGGTAACCCCTAAGGTCTCTTCTCATAGAATCATGGAATGATTTGGATTGGAAAAACCCTTAAGATCATAGAATCATAGAATAGTTCATCTAGTTCCAACCCCCAAACTCCCTCTCCTGAAATCTGAGCCCAGATTCTGGTTTCACCTCTGCATGGGAGATTTTTGTGCATCACGCCAAGTCTTGTTTTTTGCTTGGTCCATAATAGAAATGCACCTTTGGAGGTGGATTTGCATTTCTGCCCTCCCTCAGGCTCTCCTCTCCCTCAGGCAAGTACCTCCTGTGGCTGGTACTTGCATGTTATGGCCAACCCAGATTTGCAGCTCACCCTGTTCTGCTCAGTCCTCCTCCCCAGTACAGATGCCAATTCCCACTCTCCTTTGCAGCCTCAGTCTGGGCGCCCTGAGCCTGGAAAACAGAGGGAATGATGGCCACATTCTTCAAGAGAGGGTCAGCTCTGTTTCCAGTGCCATCTGAGGTCTTTCCCCACTCTTCTTTCCCCCAGGTATTTGAGATTGCTGAGGGTATGGTGGGTAATATTGGCCCCACTCACAACTTTGAGCCCCCTCACTACGATGGCATCGAGTGCCTGGCCATCCAGGGAGACATCCTCTTCAGTGGCTCCAGGGACAATGGCATAAAGAAGTGGGATCTGGAGCAGCAGGAACTTATCCAGGTCTGGAGGGGAGCATATCATACAGGTCCTCAGGGTGACTGGGGGTAACGTGTGGCAGAGGAGTATTGCTGCTGGCAGGACCCTTGTCCAGGGACCTTATGCCAGTGTCCTGCACTGAGCTCATCAGGGAGGATATTCCCATTCCTGGGAATGTGGCAGTGCATGAGTGGGGTGGCTCTGTGCTGTAGGGCACTCAGGATTGCCAGCTCCCCCTGGCACACAGGCTGCAGCATGAATTGCAGTGCTGGGTGGGGTGTTCCTCTCTGAAGATCAGATGTTATCTCCTGCCTATGGAGCAGGGGAGAAAAACAAACCCTGACTTCTGAATCTATCTTCTTGGCCTCCTAACTTTGCTTCATCAGTCCTATAATCCAGATCAGCCCCAGGGTGCAACAGTAAGGATCTGACCCATGCTGGGTGCATGAGGCCGGTGGTGGTGCTGCAGATGAGGTTGCTCATGATCTCTGCTCTATGCCTGCAGCAAATCCCCAATGCTCACAAAGACTGGGTGTGTGCCCTGGCTTTCATTCCCGGGCGCCCCATGGTGCTGAGCGCTTGCCGAGGAGGCATGATCAAAGTGTGGAACGTGGACACCTTCACCCCCATTGGGGAGATCAAGGGACACGACAGCCCCATCAACGCCATCTGCACCAACTCAAAGCACATCTTCACTGCCTCCAGGTGAGCCCCAGGCTTTCTGTTTCCCAGAGCCCCCGGGAGGAGGGAGAGCCCTGGGCTGAAGCATCGCCCCCAGGCCTGGGTGGGTTTGTGCTGGGTGGACAGGAAGCAGGGAGGGAGGGAAAGGGGGAGTCTCACAGCTTTCTAGTCCCTCCACTCCATCTCATCTTGCCCACCTTTAGCCTGCCCCATGTCATGGCCTGCCCCCTGAAGTGCCAAGAGCTGTTCCCTGACCACCCCCTTCCCATGCTCTGGTGATGCCCTGGGTTTTCCCTCTCCCCGGGGCTGGACATCCTCTGCTGCTCTCGGGGAGCTCTTTGGCAGCAAGACTCTGATATCCTCTTTCCCACCATGTCCCTTTTCTCCCTTCCTTTTTCTCTGTCTCTCTCTGTCTCCCCTCCTCCCCACCTCCCATCTGTGCCACAGTGACTGCCGGGTAAAGTTATGGAATTACGTGCCTGGGCTCACCCCTTGCCTTCCACGACGCGTCCTTGCCATAAAGGGCCGTGCTACTAGTCTGCCTTGACCCTTCTGCTCTTTCTCTCTTGCTCATGCAGTCTTCTTCTGTCTTTTCTTCCCTGTTCTCTTTCTCTCCATCTTTTTCTCCCTCTGTCTTTCTGTCGCTTGCTTTCGCTCCTCTCTCCCTCCCCCTCTCTCTTTTTCTTCTCTCTGGTCTGAGCTGCTTCTTCACGGTATGAAACTATTTTGCGTTTTTCCCCACTTTGCTAGAAGAGGCTTGGCCCCTGGTCCCAGTCACACCCCGCCGTAGTTTGGTTTCCTTGCTTTGGTTTTTCTCCTTGCTGAGTGCCTACATCCACCGTGGCAGCTCGGAGGACACTGTGGCCTTTGCATGGATGGTGGGGGTGGGGGTCAGCAGTCATCCCCAAAGCAGCCCATGCCTTGGGGAGACGAAGCACAGCAGCTCCCTGTGGTGTCACCGCTTTGACCTAGAGTCACTCGAGGCGTGCAGGAGTCCTGTGGTCAGGGTCAGCCCCAGAGGTCAACATTTTTCATTGTCCCCAACAGATGCCAATGGGGTGAGCTGGAGGCTGAGCCCCATTGGGCCTGTCTGCTCCCCAAAACAGATTGGGCAAACTCTTGCCATGAGGAAAGGGTCTTGTGGGGTGCATGCTGCCATGGGCTGGGGTGGGCAGTGTTGCTCCTCTCTGCAGGACTCCTGGGGTCACACCATCCCTCTCACCTTTGTTTCTCAGTGACTTGACAGTGAAGCTCTGGAGCGGGAGGAGGTTACCCACAGGGTCCAACTAGAAGCTGCAAAGACTGGAGGACATGACAGGAGGGTGAAGGTCGGGGTACCTCTCCCTCACTATCAAGACCTGGTCATCCCTAGGAGCTCAGTCCAGGGACAGGGATTTCTTTGTGCATGACCTGGTGGGGTGGACGATGTCCCATCTGGTACTTTGACCACTACTAGCTCCTGTTAGAAGGCAGCTCCACAGGGCATCATCAGCTCCACCTTCCCTCCTGTTGAGGTTTCTTGGTGGTTTTCCAGTGACCATGAAGTGTTTCAGCTCTTTTCTCACCCACCCTGCTGTAATGCCGGATGGAAACTGTGGGCATCAGAGCCCCTTGGCTCCTTCTGAGACACCCCCTTGCCTCCATGATGTGCTGCTTCTGTCCCTGTTGGCCATGGGGCTGGTTCCTGCAGGAGTCTTTCTCCACTCCACAGCCACAAGGATATTTGGTGTCTGCTGGCCAGGACCACAGCATAGAGGGGCTGTCTTTGGAGCCGTTACCTGTGGGACAGCCTCTCTGCTGTGGGCAGTCTGGAGAAGGATTTCCAAGTAGTCCCATCATTCCACACCCTCCATCTATCTGTTCCCAGAAGTTGGAGGTGGGCACCTCTGAATTCCTTTGCCATGTCCCAGCTCTGGATGTACAGCAAACCTGGGAACATCTCCATCAGTCAACTTACAGACAAACCTGCTGCAGTTCCCTTTGACATTCTCTAAACTCCAGTCATAAACTCAGCTGACCCATGGCTCATGGGCTCTTGCCCTTGTGCTCTGAAGTGGGGAAAGGCTGCTTAACCCTGCTCTTGACAACCTGGCCCTCAGCAGGGCATCTGTGGTGGGTTCCTGCAGCATGTTGACCCCCTTGAGATAGAGAAACTAAGCAAGAACAGAGGTTACAGAGCAAAGAAGCCAAGGCTGGATTCATCACCATCATCCCTGTGATTCATCTTATTCTGGAAGCTGTAAATCCTTCCTCCAGGCTTGCTCTTAGTCCTCTGCCTAGGAAGGACTAGCTCAGGTTTGGCCCATTGGCCCCATGGATCTGGAATCCAGAGAAGGCCAAGCCAAGGCATGGAGCAGCCGGAGGATGGGCCAGGTTGGCCTCAGCTGTGCCAGAAGCAGGGTGAGGAAGGGGCTGCACACACTCATCTCGCACAAGTCCCCTGCTTCACCCCTTGCTTGAAGGACAATCCTGCAGTGGATGAGCTTGCACAATCCAATCTCCATGAAAAGCCGGGGACTCTGTTCAGGACTCTTTTCCCAGGGATGTAGCTTCTGCAGGCTCCCTCCTCCTCTGGCTCCAGGGCATGCAAGGCCTTGGTCTCACAATGGAGTCTTTCTCCATCAGTCCTGTTGGATCGTCTCCTGCTCTGTCCAGCCCTGGGCCAAGCAGGGCTTCTCCTGGCATGGCCAAGGAGAACCTCGTGTTCTCTGTTGCAGAAGAAGCAGCGTTTGAACTCAACTTTAAGGATTTCTTCATGAGACCCCACCAGCAATGAACTGGGATCTCAGAGGCCACAGGGGGTTCAGGACCTGCCCCACAGACCATTTTCCCTCTGCTTTTTCCAACCATGGTGACTCTTGGACCATCCCCAGCTCGTTCTGGGGGAAAACCCCATCCTACTGGCTTGCCTTTGTGGCGGGTGTGATGCGTGTGTGTGTGTGTGTGACACTGCCCAGTTCAAGGAGCAGTGATCATGTCTGAGCCCTGCACTGAGGTGAGGAGCCCTCCTGCCATGGCTGGTGGAGAAGTGAGAGTAAGGCACAGACTTCACCCTCCTTGGAAAGGGTTTCCCTGCTCATTCCTGAGCTGGTGGAAGCTTTGCTTGGTTGGAGTGGGTGGTGTGGATGTGTGTATTTGGGCAGAGATGTGTGTTTGAGTGTCTGTAACTGGGTGTACCATATGCATCAATGTCTGCACCAAGATCTGCCAGTGCCTGATGTCGAACCTCTCACTGCTCCCTGCTGAAGTCGATGAAGGAACCTGCTCTCGGGGGGCTCCTGGAGTCAGACCTTTCCTTTCACCACCAGTTTCTTCTTGTGTGTAGGTTACAAGTGCTTGCTTTATTTCCCAAGGCTGAGTGCTCAATCCTGCCTGATGCTGAGCATCCACCTCACCGCTGCGTCCAGGAGCATGTTGAGGGGGCCTCAAGGCTTTTGCAGCCTGCAGGTGCTGCAGCACAGCAGCAAGTGACTGGATAGGGGGTCTCTGAGGAGAGGGATAACTGTGATCCTATAGCTCTGTGTGTGTGTGTTTTAGTATCTGTGTGGGTTGGTATTTCCCATGCACAAGAGTATTTCTCGGGTGTTGATGTGGTTTAGCTACCTCACAGTGCAAGCTGGGTGCTGTTGTCACTGGGTTTGTGTTGGGAATGGGGTGGGGAGTGTGTGTGCTGTTAGGTTTTTCTCTTCTCTTAATTATTGTTATGGTTTTTCACACTTGAATTCATGCTGGGGACACATGGCCTCACCCCCACCTCACTGTATGTCTGAACTGCCCGTCATGCAGGAGGATTCCCCCCAGCTGAGTCACAGCACTGAGCTTTTGCTCCTGTGGCTGGTAAGGTGCTTGGGCTGAGCCTCAGCTTTGTTGCTATTACTGTGTTGATCTGCAGTGTGGAAGTGGTCCCTCTTGTCCCCTTGCAGGATGGAAAGGGACCTCTGAAAGGCTCAGCTCAAATCTGGATTCCTGCCTCTGTTCTAAGAGGGTGCAGTGAAGCCCTTCTTGTGTTCAGAATGTCCATGCAAAGCACATCACTGGAATGAACTGTTCCTCATTTTCCAGAGCCCACAGCCTGGAGCAGCAGGGAACTGGTCCTGTAAAAGCCTCTGTCCAGGTCTGTGAAAGAACATCATTCTCATGTATGATGTTTGATTATTTTATTCCCAAACCATAGTTGAATCTAGATCCAGTCCCAGACACTGAACGTAAACCAGGGTAAACCTGGAGCCCCAGATTCCCACTGCCTGGGGCTGGGAAGCTGACACAGGTTGTATTCTGCTTTCCCAGCACAATGGGGTTTGGAAAGCGGCTCACAGCTCTGAGCCACACTCTGAGCCAGTTTAGGAGGGGCAGGTTCCCCCAAACACTAAAGCACAATGTCCCAACATGCAGGTGGTCCAGCAAGGGTGGCCCCTGGGATTCTGGTCCTTCAGAGCCATGGGCTTAGACAGCCAAGGTGGAGGTGGGCTCAGGTGAGGGCTTTGTGTGCTAGAGGAAGCAGGTGAGCTGTGTCATTCTTTGCACTGTGCCAGGGAGCTCCTCTGGGGCTCAGGACTTGCACAGCTTAAGTACCTTCTTGTGGCTTCTGAATCCCTCTGCCATTGCAGGGACAGTTTTGAGCTGCCTTTGCACCATGCACCTCATTTTGCTTTGCCCTTGGGTGCACTGGTTTGCTACCTGCAGTCCAGGGAGGTCCCTCCCTTCCTCAAATCACTGGGTGCTGCTTTTGTGCCCGGGGCCTGACTCTTGCCCCATGGGTCTCCCCACTCCAGCAGGAGCCAGCTCCTGCCTCTGCTGCGGGCACAGTGCTGGCCCAGAGCTGAGCTTTGCACACAAGGGTCCCCAAACCACTCTGAGCCCCCCAGGAAGCCTGGGCACTGCCCTGTCCCTGGCACTCACAGCTCTTGTGGCACAGGACACGTGGGTGCTGCATCTCCCAGCCTGGCCAGCTGTGAGGAGCTGGGCCCTGGGCTCCTGTCCCCTCCACTGTTCTTCCCCAGCACCTCCAAGCACAGCTGCTTTAAGGCCTCAGATTCTGCCTTCTGCCTTGGTGCTGCAGAGCCAATCCCTGCTCCCCAGGGTGCTCTCCCAGTGCCCCTATCCCTGACCTTCTTCCCTTGTCCCATATGGGACAGGGTGCAGGTACAATCTCTGCAGAGCATAGAGCTCCCACTTGCTTTTCAGCAAGCTCACAGCCTAGAGGCTGCAACCCCCTCCCTGAGCCCCCTCCTTCCTGGGGAGGGAAGGGAACTCCTGGCCCTCCTGGTGTTCCAGCTGGAAGTGGGAGGGAGCCCAGCAGAGCCCCAATCCCCCAGGCCCTGGTCTGGATTCCTGGAGCTCAGCCCTAGAAAAGCACAGCCCTGTACCTTCTTCCTGCCCAGGGGGGCTTTTCCCTTCATCCTTAACAGCTCTGCCTGGTACCTGCCAGCTCTTCCACATGCCCTGTGCCCTGGGATCACCCAGCACCCTCCAGTCCAGCCCTGGGGAGGGCTCAGGCAGCATCAGCATCATGTCACCTGCTCATTCACCCCTTCCTGCTGCAGAAGCATTGCAAATAGCAGGTGCCTTCTCTTGCTCAGAGCTGTTTTCTAGAGGCCAACTCTTGTGAAGGTGTGTTTTTTGTCTCTGCTGGGTCATGCAGCCCAGCCCAGCAGTCTGGGTATGTCAGAGGACAAGGCATGTACATATATTTTATACCTCGATGTGTTCCTGTAAATATTGTAAGTTATTTCGGTCTCATGATGTACATGTTTTTACACTGGTTGTGGTTGGTCCTTGCCTTTTTGTCCTCACAAATATAATGTACTGAGTTGAAGCATCAGAGAAGAGATGGCTTTGAAGAGGGGAAGAGGGCAGCCAGAAACGTTCTGGCAAAGAGGTTGGTGGAAAGGATGGCTGAACTGATGTAGCTACACCCTTTGTGTGTTGGGAGAAGGTAACCTGCATCCTTACAGGCCCAGTCCTCAGTTGGTCAGGGTAGATGTGATTTCACTGGGGGGAACTTAAGGAGCAGAGGTGGAGGAAGCACAAGGCCCAGCCAGGTGCTCTCCTGGGCACCATGTGCCCCCCAAGACACTGGTCAATCAACCAGCGGCAGGCACTGCAGGGCAGGAAGGGGGGCAGTGAGCTGTACCCACAGCCCAAACAGCCTCCACAGAAAGCTGTTTACTGGGCATCACCTTGTGTTGGCAAGCACTCTTGGAGCAGCCCTACCAACACGGGATCTTGTGCTTGTTTAACCCACCTAAAGCTCTGTGTGTGTACTGCCTGAGGAGCTCTCTCTCAGGCTCCCCAGTGTGCAGCTCCAAAAGTGCAAACATTAAGCCTCTCTTCCCATACCAAAAGTGCTAGGACAGAAAGCTGTTGCTTAGTGTCACCTACACATGGTGAACACTCGAACAGCCACATCAACATGGGGTCTGCGTTTGTTCAGCCACCTAATGCTCCTTCTGCATAATGCCAGTCTGGGGACCTCTCTAAGGCTCTCCATATCCCAGCTCCAAAAGTGACTGCATCCAGCCACTGTTCCTTCACCAAAGGTGTCAGAACAGAAAGCTGGTGCTGGGCATCAGCTGCATGTGGCGAACACCAGAACAGCCCCACCAACATGGATTTCTGCGCATAGGATCCTGGGGACACTGAGCACCATCAGGAAGTGGCAATGCTGCAGGGAAAAGGGATAAGGCGAGGAATAAGCTCCCCGTGGAGGAGCTGATCCCACCGCCATGGCTCAGCTGTGGGGGTGCTATGGCGAGGGCCATAACGTCTGGCGCGCAGGGAAGGAGAAGGAGCCGCTGGAGCAGCTTTACCGCGTGGGACCGCTGCTGGGGAGCGGCGGCTTCGGGTCCGTGTACTCGGGGGTCCGCCTGTCCGACAGCGCCCCGGTAAGTGGCGGGGCTGGCGGTGTTGCTGGGGAGGCGGCGCGGCGGGGCCGGGGCCAGCTGAGCCCAGCGCTGCCCTTGGCTTGCAGGTGGCGATCAAACATGTGGCTCGGGACCGCATCTCCTCGTGGGGCGAGCTGGTGAGTGCGGGACCACCGGGACAGCGGGAGGGGAAACCGGGAGTCAGCGGGGAAGGCGGAGCAGCCGGGTGGGGGATGCCCGGTACCGGTGGGGCCGAGGAGGGCGGCACCGGAGCATCCTCGGGGCAGGGGAGCACGGTACTGTTGTGGCCAGGCAGGAGGGCACTGGAGCATCCCCTGGACTGGGGGATGCCCAAGCACCGTTGGGGCTGTGCTGATGGACAGCCGAGCTTTCACGTGCTTGGGGGATGCCTGGTACTGGTGGGTGTGGGCAGGGGAGTACTGGAGTATCCCTTGGACTGGGAAATGCCCAAGCACTGTAGGGGACAGGCAGGGGGTCAGTGGAGCTTTCCCCAGGTTGGGGGATGTCCAGTACCAGTGGGGCCGGGCAGGGGGCACCAGACCCCTGGCGCAGCATCAGCTCAGCTGATGGCATCATGGTCCCCCCGCAGCCCAACGGCACTCGAGTACCAATGGAGATAGCCATGCTGAAGAAGGTGGGCTCTGGCTGCAGTGCCATCATCCACCTCCTGGACTGGTTTGAGCTGCCCAACAGCTTCGTGCTGGTGCTGGAGCGTCCGGAGCCATCGCAGGATCTGTTTGACTTCATCACGGAGCGGAGGTTCCTGCCTGAGGACCTGGCGCGGGGGCTGTTCCTCCAGGTGCTGGAGGCTGTGCGACACTGCCACAGCTGCGGTGTCGTGCACCGAGACATCAAGGACGAGAACATCATCATCAACCTGTCCACCGGAGAGCTCAAGCTCATCGACTTCGGCTCCAGCACCTTCCTCAAGGACACGGCCTACACCGAATTTGACGGTGAGCCCGGAGCTGGGGGGATGCTCCCGGTCCCGGGCAGTGCAGGGCCCAGCCTGGCTGGGCACCGGCAGTTCCCTGCATTGCTGGAGGGGGAGTTCATTCTCTAGCAGCTGCCAAGCTGCTTTTTGGTGTGGGACCACCAGTGCAACCCCACATCCCCGGGGATGCTGGGGCAGGGATCCAGGAGCAGGCAGCATCCTCCTGCTGAGCTGTACCTGTACCCTGTAGGAACAGGCATGTACAGTCCACCAGACTGGGTGTGCTACCAAGGCCGTCCAGTGGCCATCTAGTCACTGGGCTGCTGCTTTATGACATGGTCTGTGGGGATGTCCCCTTTGAGCGTGACAAGGACATCATCAGCAGGGAGCTCTTCTTTTGGTGCAGGGTCTCTGTCAGTGAGTATCCAGCTTCGTGGCACAGAGAATGGGGTTTGGGAGGTGGCTCCGGCCACACGAGCATCCCACTCTGAGAGCTGTGGAGGAGGCTGATCTGCCTTGGTCAGCTGGAGGAGGCGGCGCATGTCCTGCCATCCTGCTCTCCTCAAGCACACATCATGGAGCACAAGGTTTGGGTGCAGCTCTGAGCACACCCAGCCCCTCCTGAGCACTGCAGACAGTGGCACAGGGTGGACAGGAGCCTCCTGTAACTCACGGCGGGTCCCGGTTCTCTCCCCAGAGTGCCAGCACCTCATCCGGTGGTGTTTATCCCTGCACGCTTCCGACAGACCATCCCTGGAAGACATTTTCAACCACACGTGGCTGCAAGCCCTTCACCTGCCCCAGGAGACAGCCGACATCCACCTGCACAGCCTCATCCAGGAGCCTGGCAAGTGACAGCTCCAGGCGGCTCCTGGCCAGAAGCAGCGGAGAATCCCAGACTTGTCCTGCTGAGCACAGAACTGAGCAAGGATCCTCAGATGCACCTCGCACAGCTTGTCCTGGACCGCGTCTTCCAAGCACCAGTGGCCGCCATCCGGCCCCGCTGCCCTGGACTTTGTGTTGTTCTGTTCAGTTTGCTTTGTTTTGGTTTGTTCTGGTTTGTTTTCTGGGAGAGATCAGGGTTTGCCTTTGTCCAGTTTGGGTTTCATGGGGACTGGGGTAGAGTTCTGGGGGCTGGTTTTTTAGGGAGGTTTGGGATTTTGGGCAATTTGGGATTTTTGGGGGTGGGTTTTATCAGGGAGCGGGGTGGGGGGGGTTGGGTGTAGTTCTTGTGTTTCAGTTTTTGTTGTCGTCGTTCTGTTTTCTTTGTTTTGTTTTGTTTCTTTGTTCTGTTTCTGTTTTGTTTCTGGGTTTGGAGGCTCCCAAGCGTCTCCTGACCTGCTGGATTCAGGACCACAAGAGGAACAGGGACCTTCTTGTGCAAAAAGCTTCAACAGGGAAGAACTGATGGCGGGGGGCAGGCCCAGGGTGGTGCCTCTGCTCCTCTGTCCCCTGCTCGAGTGCCTTCAGTTGCCATCTGGGCTGTGCTGGAGGAAATACTTGAATTTTCCTACTCTGGTGCTTTGCCGAGACTCGCCTGGATGTAGAGCTCCTTGCCAAGGAGGTCAGAGGACAGCGGGAGCCCGGCCGGGCGATGCCTCCTGTGCCTCCTTCTCACGTGGATTTGTCTGGGGTTCCTTGCTTCTCTGTGCCCTCCCGAATGCACAAACAATGCAAACCAACAGAGCTGTAAATATGGACAGAGTTAGAGAGGAGCAATGTCTGTTGTACAGTTGTTAATAGTGATAAGATTTGACCTTTTTAATGTTGCTCCAGGTTTGGTTTTTAACTTATTTTCATGAATTTCTTGTTTGTTTTGTTGTTTTTTTTTTTTAAAGAGTTCTAGCCGGTGGGCAAAGTTATTTATTTATTTATAATTCCCATGGGTTTCCAACCCGCGCCTTGCTCCTGCAGCTGCTGATCCCCTGGTTTTCCCTTTGGGTCTTCCCTCCGTGTGTGTCCCGTGTCTGCCCCAAGTCCCTAGTGTTCTTATCAGCAGCCCAGTGGAGGTGTGGAGCAGCTCCTGCTCCCAGCTCCCTATGCTCACAGTTGTGGTCGCTGTTGTTTCCCTGCCACAAGCAGGTTCTCACCCTCGCATAGGGACTGCACACATGGACTGGAGGAAAGGAACCCTCTGGTTTCACCAGTTTCTCCCTGATGGGGAGCTCACTGCCCTTTGGTAGGAGAGGATAAAAACATCACTAGGCCCGAGAGTTCCTGGGGATTTTTATGAGGAAAACCCCCCACTTAATCATACAATCATAGAATCAACTGGGTTGGAAAAGACAAATTAAGTTCAGCAAGTCCAACCTTTTCCCATGACTGCCAAGGCCACCACTCTGTCACCAATGGCCTTGTTTACGTGGTTTGTGAACACTTCCATTCACTGTTGAACACTTGATTCAGTGTTTCCCGCAGGAGCAGGGCAGTCACAGGTCCCCACAGCCAAGGGATGCTCGTGCCAGTGGTCCCCATCCCACGCTGCCCGATGGTTGCTGGCCACCCAGTATCAGTTTCTCCTCAGGGCATGAGAGGAAAGGCATTGCCCTGGGCACTGGCAGGGCCCCCACATCACCTGGGCAGTTTGTGGGGTTTTACAGCTGAGGTTTGTTTTTTCCCAGTTTATCCCCATTTATTCAGGGGTAACCGTTTGTGCCTCACAGCTTGCCCACAATGGCAGCTCCTCGCCCACCCGGGGTGCCGCTATGAGAGGACATTCCGGCACCGGGGCTCGGCTGGGGACTGAAAATGACCCCAGATAGTGTTCAATCGCTGAGGGGACCCACACAGCCCCGGCTGCCGGCGGAGGTACCCAGCGGCCCACACTACCCAGGCTGCCGCCCCTCGGTGCCCGCGTCCCGCCCCCTGCAGGGCTCTGCCCACCGGCTCCCCCCAGCTTTCCCCTCCCCTCCACCCTATCCGATGGTTTCGCCCAGGTGGTTGCTGGGCGTGTCCCCCCTTCCCCCCCGCAGCCTGAATGGTCTTTCCCGTTCCCCGGGGCGGTGTTTAACGCTTCCCGCCCTGCCCTCTTCACGGTCCCCCTGCCCCCTCCCTCTCGGAGGCACCGCCGCCTCAGCGCCGCTTTCCGTTCCCCTCGGTGCTAGTGGTTTGCTCCGCTCTCCCTCCGCACGGAACAAGATGGTTTATCCCCTCCTCCCTCCCCGCCTCACACAGCCTCTCCGCCAGCCTTGCAGATCCCGCCTCCTCAGAGACGTCACTCCCCATCCCTCTCACGATTGGCCGCTCCGCAACGCCTTGCCCGAAGCGGCCAATGGCGGCTCTCTCTCTTGCCGGACCCAAGATGGCGCCGTCGGGGGCTGAGGGCGGGCGGCGTTGAGGCGGCCTGCGGGAGGCCGCCACCTTCCTCCGCGCTTTGCCGCTGCGCCGCGGGGCCGGCCGGCCGGTGGGCTCGCTCGCTCGCTGGCTGGCCGGCCGGGCCCGCCCCTCCCTTCCGACATGGCGGCCGAGAGCGGCAGGCAGTTCTGGAAGCGGAGCACCAAGCTGCCGGGCAGGTGAGCGCGGACACCCGGCCCGGCCGGTTCCTCCCCGGGAAGGGGGGCAGGGGCCCAGCTCTGGGGCGTTGGGTGGGGGAGCGGGAGCAGCCCCTCTGCCTTGGGAACTGGCTGTCAGGGGCTGTGTTACCCCCTGCAAGGGGGGGTTACACGGGTGTCACCCTGGTATGGGGCAGGGGAGCTGGCTGGGGGACCCCGACTTTCCCCCTGCAACGGGGACGATACCAGCCCTCCACACACACACGCACACCCTCACCCTCCCCCAGGCTATGGGGCAGAGTATTGCTGCTGGCAGAAGTCCCCCTGTATAGGGAACAAGGGTAGCTTCAGGATTGTCCCTTGTGTACGGGGCTGTGGGGATCCCTGCGTGCACCCCCACCCCAGGGAAAGCAGGGGGAAGGGGGTCAGGCCCTCGAAGGCCCCCGTTGAGGTGGCCTCGGGCCAGGCTGTACCTTCCTCATTTCCACAGGTATTGAAGGAATCACATCCTTTCCTAAAGCTCTTAGAGGTGTCACCTTGGGTGACAGCAGCTCTGTCCCAAAAAGGTGCCTTTGCCAATGCACATGTCCCTCCCTTAACCTCTCCTATGCAGTGTCACTTCTGGTCCACCTCTGCTCAGCACTGGGAACTGTGGGGCCTCTTTTTGTGTGCCCCCTCCTGCTTTCGTTCCTTTGGCTGCTTCCTGTCAAGGCACCTGCACTCTCCCAGGGATGGGAGAAACAAGTGAAATGTCTGATTCAGGTGGTGTTGAGGAAGAAGAAGCTAGTGGTGATGAAGGAGATTCTCCCTACAGTCTTAAAAGCAAGGCTGCCATGGGGAGAGGGCATCCAGCCCTCTGGGGAGGCTTTCACAAGTGCTGTTCCCATCGAGTGTTTGCCTTATCTGCACCCTGCCCTTCCCCTCCTGGTGTGTGGATGCAGTCTGAAATGCTTAGTTGGCTTTAAATCCTGCTGGGCAAGTTAATTTTCTCTTCCTGATGTGCTGTCATTCAGTTCTTTGTCACTGCACTGGCTGGCTCCCTCAGGTTGGTGGGACAATCCAGGTCTATGGCAAGCAAAGAGAAAGCAACAAGCACTACATGTTCCTCCTCTTCTGCTCACGGGGGAAGAAAATGCTGTGCCCTTCCCGAGTGATTTGGCTTCCTGATTGCTCACATCCCTTACTCGAGGTTACAGCCGTGTTTCCAGCTCATAGTCTTGGACAGCAGCTCACTCCTGCAGTCAGTGACTTGGAGCTTTGGCTTGGAGAGCTCAAACCAGGTGAACCGGTCTGGGAGGCAGCTGGTCCTGCCTAGACAATAGACTGCAATGTCAGGTTTTTGGCAGAGTTCTCCCCTGTTCCTGGCTGGCTGCGTAGCAGATATCCTGCTCTTCAGGAGCCTTCTTACCACCTCTAAATAAATGCCCTGTGCATTCCTGGGACGATTACTGGCAGATTTGGGGCACCACAGCAGCCAAAGGTGGACGTGGGACATGATTGCATCCGTAAGTGCTAGATGTAAAGCTCCCTTTCTGTTTTATATGAGGTTTAAGAGATCTTCCCATACAGATTCTTGCCTCTCTTCTTTCTCTGCCCGACAAGCAGGCAGAGGGAGACTTTGTCAAGATTTGGAAACTGTGTTAACTTCCTTTTCCATGCCACTTTGTACATTTGGTCACTTGGTTGTATTAGCTTTTAGTTGGTGCTTTTACCCTGTAGATTTAGCATGGCAGAACCAGTAAATGTCCTTTTACATTTTCAGTACTGTCCTGTAGTTTTTGCACTGGGAATTGTCACTCTAGTAATTCTCTAGGGATGTGGTGGCAGGTTGTTCTAGTGTGTTACCCTGTGTGATGGGCTGTTACTTCCTTCTCTTTAGAAAGGCAGTCAGCCTGGCTCCAGTGAGGGGTATTTAAATGCTGTTTTAAAAGGGGAGAAACAGACTTGACGAAGAGTAAATCTGGTCTGTGTCTGAAGTGGCACTTGAGGTTTCACAGATGTGCTTTATGCTGCAGTGTCAACAACCAACACCCTGTGGCAATCTCCTTGTGAGTAGCATAATGCAGGTACCACAAGCGTTGTACCAGCACTGACCGTATGGGTAAGAAGAAATGCCTGTCGGAAGAGCTTCAAATGGGACAGGACAGAGGGCTCATCCACACAGCATCAGCTCCTGACCCAGTGGTGTGTGTGTGTAATGCCTGCCCTTACGAAAGCTCATGCCCTGAGCTTTCTGTCCATGCAAAGGTCTGGCAAAACCAACTTCAGACAGGGAGTTAAGCTTGGAGACAGCAGATTCACCTAGCCAAGCTGCATCAGGGAAAACCAGGCAATAGCGAGTAAATGAAGTTAGCGAGCATCACTTGGTGATACTGCTGCCCTGCCCCGATGTTCTCAGTAGGCTGTGCTAATGTGAAGCTGTAGGATCTGCTGGGAGTCAGCTACGGGGATGTGAGCTGAAGGGGTGGGCTCCGGCATCGAGGGTACCACAGACACCACAGCACAAGCTTGCTGTCTGGCGTCTATCTGCACCTGTGCTCATGTATCTTAAAGACCTGTTGCACACTTCATTTGCACTCCTCCTCTCCTGTCCAGCATGTTACACCCTCTGCATGGGTGAATCTGGCAGAGATGGGACAAACATGGGGAGAACTCGCTTCATGCAGCAGTTCAAACTCATCAGCACAGGATGTGGTGTTCAGCCCTGGCTCTGTGGCCTGCTGGAAACCAGATTGTCCCCTTCAGCCCCTTGTGTGTGAACACAGGCTGATGGGCTGTGCAATTAGATCAGCTCAGGGTGCTTTGTCTTGGGGAGTTTGCATTCAGCTCTTCAGAATGAGCTGCCTGGGAGGTGGGACCCTCTCTGTAGCCGTTAGCCAGCAGATTGCTTCAGTGTGAGGAAGGAGTTTCTTCACCCAGAGCTGCTGCCACATCCCCCCCCTCTATCTCTAACACATATCACACATTTGGCTTGTGGAGCTCAGGCTTGTGCACATGAGTTGGAAGTGGTCACCCGTTGTCAGCACAGAGAGGAGCAGTGCTCTATGGCTGCTGTCACAAGACAGTGCGAGATTGGAGCTGGCTATTGGAGAGACTGCCGATTCCTCTCCTGCAAGCAGCTGCCATGAGTCACTGGGAAGCAGCACTGACATGGAGAGCTTGTTTTTCTTACTCCTGATAATCTGCTTGCTGTGCCCACCCACGGGGGTGCCTCTGCTTAATAGCTGTCCTGACTTCTGGATGCTAATTAGTCAGCAAACTCCTTCCAAGGCTTGATGGCTGGTGGGGAAACACAGTGAGCCTTTTTAGTGCTTCCAGCCACAGGGGGTGGCTGCTGCAGTTGAGAGCCCACCCCTCACCGGGCTTTACCACTAGGATCTCTGTGTTGTGGTTGTTTCCAGCTCTGCCCGTGATCTCTGTGTCTTTCCCCAGCCAGCTGGGCCTGTTTCTGCCACCCCCTAGCATCAACTGGTTCACGGTGTGCTTTCCAGCTGCACTAGGCTGCTGTCCCCCTCCTGCATGGCTGGGCTCTGCTTGTTTTACTGCTGGGCACCATCTGCACCTCCTGGAAATCACGCCAGCTCTGTTGACCCAAGAGGAGCCTGTTCACTGTGTGCCAGCTCTGAATGGGCCCTTGTCTCTGCTATGGGATGTGGGACTGTGCTGTGTACCAGGGATGGGGAGGACTTGTTTTCCAGAGATGGGGTGGCTGTGGATAGTTACCCAAATTGAACTGATAACTTAGGATCCCTGTCTCACATGCAGAGCTTATAAAAATAGTGAACATTCCTCTACTAGCTCCTCTCCAAGGTGATGCTCCCTATGCACTGCCTGCAGCCCTAGGGCTCCCTCTGCCACCAGTCCCACTCCACAAGGAGCAGCACCAAGGGACTGGGATGTGGTGTCTCATTTCAGGCCACACAGGAAGTGGTTGATTAAGATGGGATTTGGACCTGTGTCAAACCATGTGCTGTACCAGATGCTGCTTCACCATAGCACTGGCTGTGAGCCTGAGAGCCAGCATGGGGTTCAAACCCTCAGGTGCATTGTGGAGGAGCACCAGCGTGCTCCACCAGTGTGCAACACCAGGGCTGGAGTTCTTCCCTGTCCTGCAGGGCTTGGAAGGGTGAATTCTGCATCCTAGAAATCCCCTTGTTAGAAAGGAGAATGAACCTCAGCGTGTAAGGGAATGGGACAGAGACACATGGTCACTGAGAGAGGCTGAGAGTTTAAACAAGGCTTCTCTTTGCTGCTTCAGAGAGCAAATCTTCAGCTGAATGTGGCACTTTGGAGCTAAAGCTTTGCAGGTAGAAGCTGCTTTTGGTCTGTGTTCAGTTCCTGACAGCTGGCAAGAAGTGTGACCCCAGTCTGGGTTGGGGAGATTATTCATGGCTTTTTGCACCATCTTCTATTTCTTTCTTTCTTTCTTTCTCTTTCTTGCAGCATTCAACCTGTGTATGGAGCACAGCATCCTCCTCTGGATCCCCGTCTCACCAAGAAGTAAGTGCTTAGCTCCTGGAGATGCAGGCCACAAGACTGCAGGTTTTTGGCTCAGTCCTGCAGTAGGTGGATGTCTTCAGCCTCCCCTGACACTGTGATACTCCAGTGGAAAAGGACAGCAGTGGGGTGTGGTGCTGTGTTGAGCTCTGAAGAAGTGTGCAGGGAAAGCTTATCTGCTGACGCCTTTTATGGCCAGAAACCCAGCCACATCAAAGGAGACAGGCGTAGTTTTTAGCAGTGGTGTCTGAACCCTCTGCTCCCCTTTGGAGACAGAAGAATTAAGGGAAGGGAGGGCGGTAAAGCTGGAGAACCACAGCACACCTCCCAGCAAGAAAAGGCAGAGCTAATCTGAACTGCTTCCTTGTCCCTATCTCATGCTGGATAGTGGTAAAGGTTCCCCCTTTCTGTGACGCTTCAGGCACTGGACTTTGACTCCTGTAGCTTAAGGATAAATGCAAAGGCTCCACCTGTGCTTGAGAAGAGAACCAGGCTGGTTGGTGTGCTGGGAGCAGTCGCAGCTGTATCGGGAGTGTCCATGGGCACAGACCAGCTTTGTCTGACCTGTGCCATGCCTCTCCCGAGGTTGCAAGTCCCTTTTTTGGGTGCTAATCTACCTGTTTTGTGTAGGGTGGAGGAGGTGGAGCTAGAGGAGCTGTAGGCGTCTCCTCTTCTGCCCTACTGGGCTGGGAAGCCTGGCACCTTCTCCAGCTGCCAGCTGTGGCCTGTGTGCCCTGCCATCAGGTCAGGTTCTGCTTCGTGGCAGTGGACAGCCCAGAAAGGCTTAACATAGTCCTTGGGTTTGGGAGGAGGAACAGAGGAATTGGGAAAAGGGGCTGGCTGTTTGAAGCGAGGGCATAGGGAAGGAAAGAAGATGGACTGATCTAACAGCATGGTTCTGATAGTGGTTCTCTGATTCCCAGTTTCATCAAGGACCGCTCCAAGGCCAGTGCGCTGCCTATGAAAAGCAAGAAGGCCTCCAGCTTCCATGAGTTTGCCCGCAATACCAGTGATGCCTGGGACATTGGTGATGACGAAGATGAGGACTTCTCTTCTTCCTCTTCCTCTTTCCAGACTCTGAACTCTAAAGTGGCCAAGGCCACGGCAGCACAGGTACTGGAGAACCACAGCAAGCTACGGGCAAAACCCGAGCGGGCCCAGTCTGCTCTTGGCGACATGCCCACCAACTGCAAGGTAATCAAGTCCAGCAGTGAGGCCCAGCTCTCTAGGACATCTGGTAAGAGCCATCTTCTGAGCAGCTGACTGTTCCAGTGTTCTCCTAGTTCACTGCCAAACTCAGTTGCTTGCTGCTCCTCGCATGTTATACGTGAGAAACTGTGGCCCAGCCCATAAGCTCAACAGGGGCTTTCACCTCTTTGTAGTATCCTATACTCCAAGGAGCCAGTTTTGGAGGCCTGTGCCCTCTGCTGCTCAGTACCTACATACAGACATGTCTGTCCCGAAACATCCTGTGTTCTGTGTGCTAAAGGATTTTGGAGATCTGTTAAATTCTTGCTCAGGGTCTGCTTCCTTGGTGGCCCAGCATGCTGCTCTTAGTAAACGTCTGGGTGAGGTCCTGTTGACCCCAAGTCCATCCACCTTGGCAGGGAGCTGGGCAGCATCAGCCCCTGCTCACTGTGCCTCGTCACGCTGTGGCAGTAACTCAGCAGGTCCCTGCTGCCAGCAGGTGGCATTGGCAGCCCATTGCCTGCTTTCTATGCAAGCAATCAGTTTGATCACTAGATCAGCAGTGGAGGTGGTTTCTTCTGGGACTGCCACAGCTCCTTCTGCCTGTCTCCTGTGTCATGCTTCCCATGTGAAGAGGGAAGTCTGATCCACTGGCAGCCAGATGCCTGGGTGCAGGAGGAAGGAAGGGAAAGACAAATGATGGAAGAGCCATAACAAATGCCTGTCAACTAGATGATCCATCAGAGTGGGCCAGTGATGCTCTGTTGGCTGGGGTGAAATCTGCAGTGGCAGGTCTCTGAGTGAGCTAGGTTTGGAGAGATGCAGTCTCCTTCCCCACCTCACTGCAGCATATGCTTCTTGCAGAGGAGGCCTGTGTGAGGACCCCCCTTCAGAAGCAGCAGTCCCTTCCCCTTCGGCCTGTCATTCCACTTGTTGCCCGAATCTCAGACCAAAATGCTTCGGGTGCTCCCCCCATGACAGTGAGGGAGAAAACCCGCCTGGAGAAGTTTCGGCAGCTCCTTTCCAGCCACAACACAGACCTGGGTGAGTGCGGCAAAATGGGGGTGCCTGTGGGTGAGAAGGGGGCTGCTTCTGCTTCAAGTTGTAACCGGGTGTGCTCTGGAGTGGAAAAAATTACTCTCTGCAGTTGCAACAAGTGGTGTGGAGGCACAAACTGCTCTTTTGGCAGATGGCAACATCCTTGGCCAGCTCCTTGTCTGCTCCCAGTCTTTCTCCATCTCGCAAATGATGGTTGGGATCACTGGGGGCTGTCGGGCTCTGCATGAGAACTGAGGTTCCATCACATTGGAACCCCTGCAGGCAGTAGTTCTGTGCCCAGGCTGAGCTGGAGCCATCTCTGCTCCCCTTGCTGCAGACGCACATCCCCAGCCATTGCCAATGTGGAGCCTTCCTGGAGGCTCAGTGTCACCAGAGCCTGCAGGAGCAGACTGGGCTTTCCTCTCCTTCTAGGTATAGTGGTGCCTGGACGTGCCTAGGATCTAATCCATTGCCACCACTGTCCGTTTGCAGATGAACTGAGAAAATGCAGCTGGCCTGGTGTGCCCAGAGAAGTCCGGCCTGTGACTTGGCGTCTCCTCTCAGTGAGTACTTGGAACTGTGATGCAGGAGGCTGGGGGAGTGTGCCAAGCCAGAGACATATGCTTCTTGTGTCCTGTAACCAGGTTTGCTTGTGTTGTATCTGTACCCAGCCTATGCAGGGTTATTTTGGTTGGGGGGTATAATTGCCACATCATCTTTCAGCACAAAGCCCATAGTGATGCTAGGAATAGGTGGTTCACTCTGGTTTGGAAAGCTGAATTCCATGGTATTGGGTTGCTCCAGGGATCAGGAGCTGGGAGAGCCAAATCCCATGAGAGGTCTTTCCCCAGCTCCTGAGTCTCTGTGCCTGATGATTCCAGCTGACAGGCAGCATCTCAGGGGATGGTTTAAGGTGAGGGTAGAGTCTCTGCCCTGACACAGGTTTTCCTGCCACAGGGTTATCTCCCGGCAAACATGGAGCGGCGAAAGCTGACTTTGCAGCGCAAGCGGGAGGAGTACTTTGTTTTCATCCATCAGTATTATGATTCCCGGAATGAGGAGCATCATCAAGACACCTACCGACAGGTACGAGACCTACCTATGACAGGTAGAGACCTACCTCTGCCTGTTGCCTGGCTTTCTGCCTTGGTTATATCCCTTTCCTTCCTCTTGCCACTGCTTGTCCGTGCAGTTGGGGTCGTACCAGGACTTCCTCTAGATGTAGCTATTAGGAGGGAAAAGGGCACCATGTTTCTATCCCTCTTCTTACAGGTATTAGTTTAACCCTTCCTTCAGTTGATCTAATAACTAGATTTTGGACCCCAGATCTGGTCACCTCCCCACAGCTTAGCTGAGGAGATCAGAGATAAAACTGGACATGATTCTGTCATTGCAGCTGTAGCCCTCACTGTGCTTGTCAGCAAGTGCAGCTGTCACCTGGGGGACACTCAGGAGTGGATTCCCCTCTGTTAGCCTGTGATGAGTTACTGTGCCCCTGGAAAGCGTGGCTGCTGTGTGTAACCCACCTTTTCTTTCAGATCCACATCGATATTCCAAGGACCAACCCACTCATCCCCCTCTTCCAGCAGCCACTGGTCCAGGAGGTAAGGGACAGGAAAGCTCCTGTCACACATTGGCTGTGGGGTGTGTGTGGGGGGGGAACTTCCCTGGCTGACAGCTCCTGATGCAGATACCTGCTGAAACTGGTCTTGTCCCATGTTTCTGAGGGACATCAGACTTTGAGCTCAGGGTTATGAGATCAGCTCTTGTGTGGTGAGATGTAGCCAGGAGTTGGTAGAAGAAATGAAGCTTGTGTTTTGAGACCAATTCTAGGCATTTGAACCAGAACAGGAGATCAGTTCTGTTTTGCTATGAAACCTCTTTTGTGTGAAGCACTGTGTGAGAAAGCCAAGCAGGGATGGCTTAGAGAGATAACCGGGGGATGTAGTAGGCACATGTCCTCCTTGGAAACAAGCTCAGCATGTGTTTGTGGTATGTCAGAGCATGGTGTCCTGGGGCTGAGGCAGTCTGGAAGGTTGTTAGAGGGTGGCTGCTCTGTTGGAAACTCTCCTGATCTGTGACATTTTGCTGGGAATACTGTGCTGGTAGCAGATAACAGCCTTAGCTTTCAATATCATGTTCAGCAAGGCATGCTGCTGTGCACAGGCAGCCCTGTCCTGTGGGTGGAAGGGTCTTAAACTGCCTGGATCTTACAAAGTTGGGTCTGCATTTCTTCAGCTGAGGCTTTGATGAGGAGCCTGAGCTGCCTTGTTCTGTGAATTGTGGGCTGGCCTGTATGGGGGATCTGTGGATCACACAGGAGGCTCTCCTAGGACTTGTATGCTTCTTATCTTACCCATATTGCTGCAGAAAAGCCTGTCTGTGCATGATTTCTGCTCCCTGAGCTTAGCTATTACGCTTTTCTGCCTTTCCTTTGTGCACGGCTAATGCAGGTACCTGCTTTCCCTCATTCTTCCCTAGATCTTTGAAAGAATCCTGTTTATCTGGGCCATTCGACACCCAGCCAGCGGCTATGTACAGGGAATCAATGACCTGGTCACTCCTTTCTTTGTTGTGTTCCTTTCTGAGTATGTTGGTAAGTGACTTGAAGCACGTTGCTGCCTTTCCACAATGGTGTTTGAAAGGGTGTGAAATGCTGGCATCAGAAAAGCTTGCCTTGCTGAGGGGATGTTAATCCTTCAGTGCCTATGCCAGGCTGGAGATACATCCTGACCTCTTACTGCCTGGTTGGATTGACTTCAGTTTGCTGAGCTCCACGGAAGTGCTGAGGGTAGATTTGCATCTGAATGTACTTAACATCTTTACAGCTTGGAGGAGACCCGAGACCTTTTAGGTGCTGAGTTTAGGCAAAACCCTGATGATACAGAGTTGGGGGAAGGGAGGGTCTTGCTCTCAAAGCTTTGCTTTTGAGGTGGTTCTGGCTCTACGAGCATTGAGGGAAGTATAAAGAGACCCTGCTGAGAATGTAAAATAAACTACTAAAATGAAAGCTTCCTGGCCCATGCTGCCGGTACAGGTGTGTTTCTCAAGCTGAGACTTTCAGAAAGCAAATTGACTTCTCCCTGCTGCTTTTGGCTTTCTTGACAGCCAGTTGCCTTTAGCTGGAGATCAAGTCATTTCCACCCTTTTCATAGTCCTTTTCAGTCTCCAGCTCTAGCTGTGTTTTGGGCTTAACATTAATGCTGGGCCTCTGTAATCCCTGTGCCTACAGGCTCTTAGTTTTCACTGTGAACAGAAGGAAAAAGGGAATCTGTAAGAAAGTATTCGTGAAAGAGAAATCCTGGGGAACAAATATTTTTAAGGTCTCATCCAAAGCTTGTTGAAGTCAGTGGAAGGCTTCCACTGCCTAGCTGAGGCTTTGTAAATCAGTACTGATGTGCCTCACCTGAGGAGCTTGCAAAGAGGTAAGCCAGCTTGGTTCTGCTGTGGTAGCCAGTGTGGTCAGGATTGATCCCCACGAGGTGTTGATGCTTCTCACAGCCTGAAGGACAAGGCACAAAATGTGGCCCTGCTATGAGCTGGGGTGGTGAGTACCCTTTCTTGGGAATTCCCTTTCCTGGGAGGTCAGGAGCCTGTTGAGTCAGGTCTGGGCAGGTTCCCCTTAAGCTGTTTCTACCGCAGCACTTAGGCTTGGTGGAGGCTGGTTGCTCAGGATTGATTTATCGGGTTAGAAGCAGGGCTGTGCACAGTGAGTTCTCTCTGCAAGGAGGGAGCTAGTCTAAAGCATCAGAGCTGCCTGCAGGTACCTGGTGTGACTTCTTGCAGCCCTGTACTGTGCTGAGGCTCAACTCTCTTGTGTGTGGCTGCAGAGTTCGTGTTGCATCAGCCTGGTCCGCCTCTTGGTGGTGGTGTGCTTCTCACCATCTTCCAGGGCTGTTTTCACCCCTGCCTGAAGTTTCCTCTCTGAATGTGGTCATCCTGCTTCCAGCTATCTCTGAAACTTGTGTTGGATTAAAAAAAACATGTCTGAGAAAAACCTGTTGACTTGCACTTGACCAAACAATATCATGCATCCCCTTCTGGCCCCAGAGCCTGGGACACAAAGCCAGCCTTCAGGTGACAAGCTGTCTTGGTGATAGCGGAATAGACTCCACAACTTGGTTAAAGTTGTAAAGTAGGTATGCTTTATTCAGCTGAAGATGCACGGGGGATTGGTCCTCCAAAAGGCATGCGTCCGTCAGTGCTGTTTCCCTCTACATTTATCCTCTAAAGTTACAAGGTTGCACAATACGCCTATACATATTCATATTCTATCCCCGCTTCGTATTATAATGACCTAGAAAGTCCTCTGCGCCTGCGCAGTGCCCCCTCTGGTCATGGGCAGGGGTCTCAAGATGAAATAAATGAGTCTTCCTCTTGTGGGTAGGGGTCTTCAAGATGAAGTAAATGAGTCTTCCTCTTCTTGAACTTGTCACCTTTTAGTCTTCACACATATGGCCTTAGGGTTTGGTCGGTGCCCCAGCCATAAACCATCTGCTTTTCCTTATCAATAGCTACTTATCGTTATAATCAGGTGTCTGCTTATCAATAGGACCAGGTGTCTGCTTTTGCTTATCAATAGGACTTGGTGTCTTTGTTCTGCTTAGTAAGCACTTACAACAGACAAAACCTTGTCTAGGCAAGTAAATTCCTCTAACCCCCCCTGTACAACCCCCCTGTACATTGGTCAACCCTCTGCATCATTGGTGGCTCCCTGCTCTGGCTGCGTAGCAGTTGGAGTTTAAGGACGAGATCAGTAATTGCCTTGAATGTACATGGGAAGGAATTGGCAGTGCTCAGTGCCATATAACCCCTTTTGCAACAGGATTTAAGTCTCTGGCTTGGACCACTGGCTTTTCTTTACAGCTGCCTTTCTGACAGGCCCTTGAAGAGCTGGTGCTGTGCTGGTCTGGAGGCTCTCCTTGTTAGATCACTAATTCTCAGGATCCCTGGGTCAGTCAAATCTGTGCTGCATCTCAGTCCTTGCAGCAGGAGAGCCCAAAGAGGCCTTGCACACTTTGGTAACCCTTGTGCAGCATGTGCCAGTGGACAACTCTCCTTTCTGTGGGAAGTCTCTTGTTTAAAGGAAACTCTGCTTGTGTTCAAGCTGTATCCCTGGCACAGTCAGGCAGCTACTTGAGGGCTCATACCCCTGTAATCTGACGTTATCTTCACATTCAAAGGTGTATGTAGAGCTGGCCTGGAAAAGTTTAACTTGAAAGGTGGCTCTGGGAAATTGACACCATCTTCAAACCTCTAGTTTTGCTACCCCTGTTCTTGAGACTAGGATTTTGTTAAATGGATCCACTGTGCTGGCTCCTCAGCTCACCTGCCCACCAGCTTCCCTGGATGTTTGAGTGCAGCTCTGAAGGGATGTCCCTGCAGCAGCTGACTCAGCAGGACCATCACAGCCCTTTGGTGTCGTGGTGTGCAGGTGTGAGTGAGCTGACAGGCAGAGGTGGAGTTCCCAAGCTCTTGACTTTGGATAGCTGCTCAGCACAAAGCCAGGCTAACACCCTGGTCTCCTGCTGTTCAGTCTAGCAGCTTCTCATAAAGTAGTCTCTGAAAATGGGCTGGTTTCCATCTCCAATTTCTTTGTAGACTTCTAACCCACCATAGAATCAACCAGGCTGGAAAAGCCCTTTAAGCTCATCCAGTCCAACCCTTACCCCAGCACTGCCAAGGCCACCCCTGACCCATGGCACTGAGGCCTCGTCTCCACGCTGTGTGAACACTTGCAGGGACGGTGCCTGCAGCCCTGCCCTGGGCAGCCTGTTCCAATGCCTGAGCACCCTCTGGGGCAGGAATTGTTCCTCAGCTCCATCTAAACCTGCCCTGGTGCAGCTTGAGGCCATTTCCTCTTGTCCCGTCCCTTGTTCCTTGGGGGCAGAGACCACCCCCTCCCTCACTTCATCCTTCTTTCAGATAGTTGTAGAGAATGACAAGGTCTCACCTGAGCCTTCTCTCATGCTCCATCATCCCATGCTTTGAGCAGGCATTGCATTTGCAGACAACAAATCCACTTTTCTACAGATAATTAAAATCTCTGCTTGGTGCTTATCAGCTGATCAATGTGTCTGGTTAATGGTGTGTCCATTATACAACAGTATACGATATTATGATATTACAAGACCATGGCATGAAACATACTCAAGAGGGTTTGTCTGGCTTTCCACCAAGGGCTCAAACATATCCATAGGGAAAAGGTGGGTGCCTTGGGGAGGGGATGGTCTGTAGCTTTCCAAGCACCTTCAGGGAACAATTTGGCAGCTTCATTTCACTGAAGCTGACATGAGTAAAGATCCATCAGTCAACAGTAACCAAGCCAACACTCAGGCTCTTGTGTGCAGAGGGATTGAACAGCTTGCTCAGGGTAGTAGTTACAGTAGTCTGGCTTGGTATACTGCTGAGTCTTTGACTTGATGCCCTTTCATCCTCACTGTAGAAGATGGGGAGGGGAAGGGTGGAAGCCTCTCTGAGTCTTGAAGGAGGTAAATGGACCACTGGGTGAAGCATACTCGCAGGAAGCTATTTCTTCTGGCTGCCCCGTTGTGCTTTGGGAACTGGATGACCCTGTTATTAGCCTGCATTTCCCCAGCTTAACCAAAGGGGTCCTGTTAGTATGGCTGTTTTCTTTCTGAGCAATGCCTTGAATCCAGTGTTTGTGCCCCTTCAACCAGCGCCAACTAGGCTGAGGCAGGGAGGAGCAGCTCTTCCCCTGAGCTTTCAGTCCCCATGTCTGAACTCCTGCCCCTTTTTCTGGTGCCAACTGGGACCAGTTGCTTTTCCTTTACTTGTGCCCAGTCTAGATGCAAAACTTATGCTCCTTTCGGTGCTGGGCAGACACCTGTGACTTCTATCCCTTGGCAGATGGGATAGATTTAATTGCTGTGTTTTAACCTTTCTCCCATCATGGCTCACTTCCTGCAATGCTCTACCTGCCTGCTGCACCAACACAGCTACTTGGCAGCAAGCATGGGTGCTTTGGGCCCCTGCCACCATCAGATCCGTAGCTGGAGTGATTCCTCCTCCTGGTGACTGACAGCTTCTGCTGCCATGAGAGAGAGCTTGAGAGAGGTATTGAGGCTGCAGGAGCAGCTGAGTCTACTATTCCTGCTCTCTGGATGGGATGGATGCAGTGGTGCTGCTGGGCAGTCAGATCCTGAGCAGTAAGGATGGAGAGAGGCAGTCTGGCAACCGAGGAACTGGGGCAGGGCTGACACCTTGCCAGAGGAAACCGTATGCTCCTTTTTCCAGGTGATCAGAGGATCAGAGATGGCCCAGCAAGCACTGGGATGCTGAGCCCTCAGTCCTCCTTAAACTGCTCCCAGCTCATTTCCCACAGCCTCCTGGGGTCACCCCCAGCAATCAGGGCTTGTGTTTGCATTTCAAATGGCAGTGACAGAGCTCAGAAATCAGTTCAGCAGCCCAAGGCAGTGCCAGTGCTGGCTCTGTGCCCTCTCCCAGTGCTCTCTGCCCATCTCAATGTATGACACCACTTCCCTTGCTCATCCAAGGCCTTGTGTAACGGATTGTTTCAGCTTTGGGATCTGTTTGGCATTTCAGTAAGCCTGTAAAAGGGGCAGTGCCATGGAAAGGACTGATCTTGCTTGCCCCTGACTGGCTTTTGTAACTAAATCCTGACTGTGGTTAAACTAAGACTGTCTCCCTGTAAACAGGAGCGTAAGTGGAACCTGGGGGGAAGGGAAGCCTCGTACCTGGGCATTACTACTCACACTGCAATTTACCAGCTTAGGCTGTAACATCAGTCTTGTTCTCAACTCCAGGTTTGCCCTGGATCTGCCTTTCACTGCACATGGTGCAGACATGCCCATTACTACACACGGCTGTGAGCCAAGACTGGGTTTAACTGTTCCCTATGTGTCTAGTCCTGCGCTGAGCATGGGGAGTCAGTAAAGCTCCCTGAGGGCAAGTAGGCACTGAGCCTCTTGTACCTCTTATCTGCTCCAAGCTATTCCCTGCCTGGCATTTGGAGCAGGGGCTCAAGTGGGATTGTGATGTCCCTTCTCCTGTGTCTGCCCTGAGTCCTGATGGAATGTCACTCGCAGGAACTGAGGCACCCTGGGACACTGCCAGCAGTGTCACTGTGCCACTGGCTCCCTTTCAGACCCTGCCAGAACCCTGTTGAGCAGCTCCCTCCTTTCCACAGGGCTACTTGCATGATGCCACTGAGCAGATGTTTGTGTTGAGCCACACACTCCAGCAGCCTTCCTGCAGTGTGTGTTGGCTCATGCTGGGTACCTCCTATCCCTGTTTTGCTTTGACAACAGGGTGCTGGCAGAGTTGCTTCTCCTGTCCCTATACTGGTGCAAGCAGCAGGGTGTTCCCCATCACCTTGGTAGTTCACCACATCCTCTTCCCCATCACGATCCTCATGCCTGGAGCTGAATGGAGCTCATCCTGTGTGGCTCAACCCCCCACTCCTCCAACCAGTTCTGGCTACTAGCATGTGGCCCTATCCCCTTCCTCTCCCTGTCCATCCTCCTTTCTCTGTGAGGCAAGTTATCTAGGGAAGGATTTTGCCTGCCTTTCTCATTATCTGGAATATTTGTGAGTCCCTGCAGAGAAAGCAGAAGAAGAGTGATAGCTTTGGATGATGACCTGCAGCTGTACAAGAGCTTTGCTGATCTTTCTGCAGTTCAAGCTTGCTAGATTAATGAAGAGTTAAGCCCTTGCTAGTCCCTAAGTCCTGGTGGCATTTTGCTCTGGAGCTGAGCCCTGTCCCAGAAGAGGAGCAGTGCTGGAGTCAGTGGCTCTACACTTTCCGTCCTCCTGTGGCCAAGATCTGTTAGTGTGAGTTTTCACCTAAACCAAGAGTGCGGCCTGGCTCTAGCCCCAATCCCTTTCCTCTTCCTCTCTTGCTGTTTTCCAAGGAAGCTCAAAGACACTTGTTAGGCTTTCCGAAGCTCTGGGTTTGGAAATGGGCCAGTTTAGTCCTGTCATCTGTTGGTCTGATTTAGCACTGTGATAGGTGCCCACCTGAGGAGGAAAGGGAAGGGAGCTGCTGGGTCTTCCAAGCCAGGAGGGCCAGACCTGTGTCTCCTGAGTCTCCTCCCTGTGTTCCCACTGCCTTTTACAGCCCCAGGTTAAGGTGAGCTTGGCCTGGAGCAGGTGATACCTGCTCCAAACTCAGCTGGCATCACCACCATCCTACCCTTGAGGTTTCTGATGTCTCCCTTCCCCTTCTTGCAGGTTCATAAGCCCATGTAAAAGCAGGGGCAGCCTTTTGCACTCTGTGAGTACCCTTTGGGGGCCGAGCTGCCACTAACCCTTGTGCTTTCTGACCCCTGTTTCACTGGTTTTGGAAAACAAGCTTGCACAAATCACTGCTTCCCCTGCAGCAAAGTTCTTCTGTGCATGGGGCTGCTGTTTGCTGGATCTCTCCCATCATCTGGGTTTAAGGAGGAGAAGCTCTGTGAAGCTGAGCAGCCTCTCTGCTGCGTGTCCCCACTGTCAGGCTTCGAGCAGGATTTAACTCGGAGCCTTTTTGCTCTCTAGGAAGATGTCTGTCTGCTTTTGGGGCTTGCAGCTGTGCCTCAGAGTCCTGCTCTCCCATAGAGGGTTCTGATGCTTTGACAGTCACTTTTTAGGTAACACTGTTGTGCTTCAGTCCTGGGATGATGCTGGTGAATCTGACTGGGTGCAGGAACTGAGCTGCCCCAGGTCACAGGCAGTGTTTCCCTCCCTGGTTTCTGGCTGCAGTGGGAAATTCACCTCTCCCAGCTCTCCCTGTGGTTGCTGGCAGAGACCTGCCATCACCTGAGGTGGGATGTGGTCTGGATAGAGGGGTCCCATATGCAGCTTTGTCCATGCACAGCCCCTGCCCCAGAAGGACAATGACAGCAGCAGCACTGTGGGATGCCTCCCACAGCACCCTGGAGAACTGGGCTGGTTTCGGATCGTGGCCACTGAGTCTTTTGGGATCCTTTAGCCCTTCACTTGGGTTGGAGAAATAGGTCACTGCTCGGGTGCTGTGCCCTGGGCCAGGCAGGGAGCCTCACAGCTTGCCTTTGTCTTGATAAAGTCCCTTAGGGTGTCCTATGAGCTGCCTGGTGTTCCCACCCTCCTGAGCCTCTTCCCTCTCTGTTCTGCAGAGGAGGATGTGGAGAACTTTGACGTGAGGAACCTGTCGCAGGATGTGTTACGGAGCATTGAAGCCGACAGCTTCTGGTGCATGAGCAAGCTGCTGGATGGGATTCAGGTGAGCTCCGGGGCCCGGGGGGGGTGTCTCTCCCTTTGATGTGGTGAGTGCTCTGTATGTGCCAGCATTAGGAAGATTTTGCTATTTCACTGAGCTAAATGTGTGGGTAAAATCCTGTGCCTCTCGAGCCAGCACTGTCCTGACTAGGGATTCAGGGCAGGCAGGTGATCCTGGTTCTCAAGAGTCATGTATCCATGGCTCATGGTGCTTTTGGCTCCCTGTGGGGCTGCAGATGTGGTTTGGGTCATTTCTAGCTGTTAGAGCTGCTGCTTCTGACTCCTGGCCTCTCCCCACAGGATAACTACACCTTTGCTCAGCCAGGGATCCAGAAGAAAGTCAAAGCCCTGGAGGAGCTAGTGAGCCGGATCGATGGTAGGTGACAGGGGGATCTGAGCTGGTTGTCACAACACTGGGGGAGTCTCCTTTGCAAGCAGCACCCTCAGGGCAGGGGTAGACTCTTGCCTGCAATGGTATAGAAGCAGAGCAGAGTAGGGTCAGCCAGGAACCTCCTGGGACAGGGTTTTGCTGCCCAGGATGAGGAGTGGACGTGTTCTGGAGAACAAGGTCTCATCCTGAAAGCCAGTGTGTTGGGGGCAGTGCTGTGGTCCCCAGGTGTGTAAGTGAAATGTGCTGTTTCAGAGCAGGTACATAATCACTTTAGGAAGTACGAGGTTGAATACCTGCAGTTTGCCTTTCGCTGGATGAACAATCTGCTGATGAGGGAGCTGCCTCTTCGCTGCACCATCCGCCTCTGGGACACCTACCAGGTACACAGGCTCCTGCTGCCTTCCCTGCTTGGCTGGTCACTGCAGGACTGATTCTGTGTGCACGGTGGGAGGGAAGTTATCTGGTAACTGGGGAGATCATGGAATCATAGAATAGTTAGGGTTGTAAAGGACCTGAAGATCATCCAGTTACAATCCCCTGCAATGGGAAGGGACGCCTCACTTTAAACCATGTTGCCCAAGGCTCTGTCCAACCTGCCCTTGAACACTGCCAGGGATGGAGCATTTATCACTTCTTTGGGCAGCCTGTTCCAGTGTCTCACCAGATTCACAGTAAAGAACTTCTTCCTTATATCCAGCCTGAGCTTCCTCTAGCTAAGTCTGAACCCATCACCCCTTGTCCTGTCACTGCAGTCCCTAGTGGAGAGTCCTTCACCAGCATCCTTGGAGCCCCCTCCAGACACCAGAAGCTGCTCTGAGGTCCCCACACAGCTTCTCTTCTCCAGGCTGAACAGCCCCAGTGTTCTCAGCCTGGCTCCATACAGGAGCTGCTCCAGCCCCTGAGCATCCTCGTGGCCTCCTCTGGCCTTGCTCCAACAGCTCCATGTCCTCCTTATGCTGAGGGCACCAGAACTGCAAACAGTGCTGCAAGTGGGGTCTTGTGAAAGCAGAGTAGAGGGGTGTGATGAAGGAAGCAAAGCAACATGGCCCTGGGACATTGGCAGCCAGTTAGGTGATAGGTGGCCCAGCAGGATATGTGTGTCCAGGGAGGTCATGACACAGAGCTTTGCTGCCCACAGTCAGAGCCAGAAGGATTCTCACATTTCCACCTGTACGTCTGCGCTGCCTTCTTGATCAAGTGGCGAAAGGAGATCCTAGATGAGGAAGATTTCCAAGTAAGACGCTGGGGCTGGGGATAATTCCCTGGTGGTGAGGGGAGGGAGTTGCTTTGGTTGGGAGCCCAAGGCGGATGGAGTCCGCCATCACTTCGGAGCTGTCTCCAAGATCAGTCTATCTCAGGATCCTTGCCTAAAAGTAACTACTGAGCTCAGGGCTCAGGACAGAACAGAGCTGTTGGAGAGTTCAGACATCAAATATCAGCTCTGATCAGGGCAAGTCCCTTGATATTTGCCTTCTGGTGTCCAACTATGGAAGCATCCTTTATCTCAAGGGATTTTGGGGCATCTGAGGTGTTCCACTGATTGGGATCTAAACATATCTTGAGCATATTTTAATGCTGTCTGTGAGCAAGTTATTGATTGATGCTGCCCTGAACCTGCTCTGGATCTATTCTCTGCCTTCAGCCTTCCCAAACTAAGCACCTTCCCCTCTTTCAGGGCCTTCTGATGTTATTACAAAACCTGCCCACAATACACTGGGGTAATGAAGAGATTGGACTCCTGCTCGCTGAAGCCTACAGACTCAAGTACATGTTTGCAGATGCCCCCAATCATTACCGTCGATAGGTGCCAGGACTCGACTCCCTCCTTTTCCCCATGTCCAGCCCTTGTCCTGGCCCGATCTGATCACTGTGGCATTTCTGTCATCCAAGTCCTCGGACACTCTGGCCAGGAGCTGCTCCTCACTGTACAAAGCTCACATTGACTCTTGTCTTAACTCTTGAACGTGTGCCTGTCTGCCACTCCATGCGCCTGGATGTGCCACTCCAGTGACCGTCAGTATTCCATGCCAAGCCGGGGGAGAGGCGTGAAAGGGCTGTGAGAGGACGTTGTGGGGGCAGCTTTACAGATAAACTGAGCCGAGGACGAAGCCCTCCTGTCCTCTCCACCCCTTATCCTGAGCTGGGACCACTTTGGCTTCGCTGCCTCGTGTTACCCTGTCACCATGTGCGCTGCCATATCCCTTCTCTCTTCTGCCACTGGTCGCTCCAGCTCCCAGATGAAAAATGCCTTATCAGAGACCTGCCTGGCTGGAAAATCCTTCCCCTGAGGGCAGCAGGGCAAGAAGCTGCTCTCAGGGCCTGGCTTCACTCCGAGGATCCGGACACCCCAAGCACTTTGTGGGTTCACAAGAGAACCCCTTGCACCTGCTCTGCGTCCTCATCCTCTTCACCTCCCTCTCCCCCCAGGCAGTGGGGTGAGCATGGCCAGGGACAGGGGGGGGAACTCCATCACGTCCAATGATGCATGTCAGCTTCACAGGACTTCCTGTGACTGAGGTGCTGTTGGTACAGCCCCTCTGGCATGGTGGGAGGCGGGGGGCCTGGAAGGGGAGCAGAGTCTCTCACTCCCTCCTTGCAAAGCCCCTGCTCCTCTGAGACATTCTGTGTATATTGTGTTCTTGTGTATATGGGTTAAAGATGTACAATATACGTCTTATGTTTGCAGCAGATCATGATTTTATATTTATAACATGCACTCCTTGCTCTCCCCATCCTCTCCATGCCTGGGAAAGGTGCCTGCTTACAGCATCGTAGGGCTTTGGACCTCTCCAGACATGGGGGGGGCGTTTTGAACCCACAGTGTGTGTGTGCAGCGTTGGACTTGCCAGGAAGAGCTGCAATGGAAACATGGATCTCAAGGCTTCCCTCCAAAGAGGATTTGGGTGCTTAAAGGAGATGGAAAGCAGGGAAGAGCTATGTCCAGGAAAAAGGGTATCCCGGCTTGTCTGCTGCTGGCTCCGAGACCAGTGGAACGCTCTTGGGAGGTGCAATCCAGTACCCAGCACTGGCTGCCCCACTGTTCCCCAGCACTATGGATGTGTCCTCCAGGGCTTCTCCCAGCAAGGACCAGGCTGCCCTCACCACCATCTGCTCTTAAACCAGTTGTGGATGTTTTAACCAGCTGCGTTCTTCCTGCTGGCCACGTCCTGATTGAGGGCTGGGGATGGATCCAGGCCATGTGGGCTGCCACCAGGGCATGGAGCTTCCCGCTCCCTCTGCATTCCATTGCTGTTCCCAGTGGGAAGAGGCAGCGGGGCTGCGAGGCCGGGGTTGAGCATGTGAAAGGCAGAGCCTTGTTGCCAATAAAACTCCAAATAGTGTCTCAAGAAATTGCTTTCCCAACCTGGAGTTGTTCTTCACAGGCTTTTAGCTGGGACTTCTGCAGGTGCCTTTTGTTGCTTTCTCCATGGGACAGAGCTGGTGAGCTGCAGTGAGGCATGACAAAGGGAGAGAAGAAATACCCGACCCAAACTCAACAGCTCTGAGCTTGGGGTGGGGTTGGGAGCGGTGTTTGAGGGGCCTCAGGTGTGGTTGTGTCTCAGTTTCCTCACCTGTAAAGCAAGGTGGGGGGGGGTCTCAGCTGTGGAAAGCGCTGGTTTGTCAGGGGAGGGATTGGCCTTTCCAAGAGCTCCAAAAAGGGCCTGAGACAGCCGCAAGCCCCCCGATCCCTGCCTGAGCCTCTGCAATCAGTCTCCAAGCTGCTTCATTTGTGTTTCAGCTTATTTACCTTGATGGGACTTATTGGGATGTGTTGTCCTGGTGCCACCCAGTAAGGGGTTGGGGGTGATGCCAATGACACCACCCAAAAACCTGCACTGAGATCCCCCCCACCCTCCCTGCTCCACTCCCATCTCCCTTCTTTCAGGCCTGGGCTATGAAGCTGATTCTGCCACTGAAAGATGCCATCGTCATGGAAACCTTGGAGCTGCAGAGCTGTTCGGGAAGTCACCATCTCATTTGTTAAAGAGGAAAAGATGGGGTGGGAGGGGGAAGCTGTTTTCTTAAAGCGCAATAATTCTAACCTGAAATGCCAGCAGGGAGGTCTGTGGGCAGTAGTAGAGGCTGGTTTCTGGTGCTTTCCTCTGGAGAACAAGTGCCCAACATCCCTCTTGTTGATAAATCCTCCTTGGTTTTGCAACAGGTGGAAATGGTAGAAAGTAAATGGAAGAATTCTGCTTTTAATACCTTGCCCATCCCCTGCTGCTCTCCCTGAGCCAGGGGTCCTGGTGGTGCAGCCCCACCTGCAGCAATCCCCCTGCGCAGGAGGGGAAAATGCATCTTTGGGAAGAGACAAGGCAAGAGCCCTGCTGAGAAACCCCCAGGTCCACCAAGGCATCACCAGAGATGGGACTGAAGCCCCGTATTCCCAATTCCCATCCCTCTAGGGGCTCTCAGCCAGCCCCAGGCCAGAGGGCTCCCATCTTCCACCACCCAATGTTGTCACCTGCTGCACATGGGGCAAGCGCCTTCTGGAGATGCTCCTTCCCCTTCCCTGTCATTGCTCTTTCCACCTGGCAACTGGGACGACTGGGATGAACAAAACCCACCATGGTGAGCGATGTCCTTGACCTCAGTTCAACAATAACAAGGAAGGACTCTGATTTTATACATTAGAACATTTATTTCTCAGAGAGAAAATATAGTCTCAGACAGTCAGATTATAGTAGGTAAAATTAGCATCTTCTTTTCAAGCATAGATTTTCTTATTCTCTTATACCATCTGATATAAACAATTCTAGAAAGCAAATAAACTCACTTTCTACAATAAATAGAGCGCTCTGTGCTTTACAGCAGACTGACAGTAACGTTTGGGTCCCGGAGTAACAGCAGGATATCAGCCAATTCCAAGCCTAAAATGGCATTTCAACACCAAACCAACCCCCCCAAAACCCCGATTCCCAAGATCTTAAAACATATACACAGGTCACGAGTCCACAGCTGAGCTACCACCTGCAAAGTGTATGTTCCTTTAAATAAATTACACTGTGGGCACATCAAAGACCCAGCAACACAACTGAGGACTTCAAGAATGGTGACAAGAGGTCTAAATAATTTAGAACAGTATTTTACAGCTATTTACACATCGTCCTTCCCTTGCCACCCTCCATAGGCATTATTAATATTATTGTTTTTATAAAATCCTACGCCCCATCTCTATATGTTACAGGAATCTCTTCCTTAAAGTGTGGTTCCACATCCGAATGTATAAGAAGTGGTATCTTAAAAAAGTAGACCAAGTAGAAATGGCAGTGATTACTCCCTATTAGTCATTAACAATTATTATTATTATTATTATTTTGAACCCCCCCCACATTCTCTTCAGTATGAAAAAGTTAAAATAATAAAAAAATACTGAGTTAAAAAGCGAAATGATGATAATTCAATCTACAATCTTGCTCTGCACCTTTGGTTCTTCACATGGGAAAGCAAAAAGGGATACACAGGACAAGAAACCACCAAGTCCTTGGCTAATAGAAAAGATTTTGTCATCAAGTTTCCAAACACGAGTTGTCCCTGTTTTTTGCAATGCAAACCCAAAAAGCCAGGGATTGTCTGCAGAGCTGGGGTTTGGGATTCAATGGATGACAATGCTGGAGACCCACACACTGGGGAATGGATACGTGTGCATGGGAGAAGGAAGAAAGGCAGAATGGTCATGTGCTCTATTGAGTGCTTGGTTTCAACCCAACCCAAGCCAGAGGAACACAGTAGGGACAGAAAAGAAGGAAGAAAGGAAGAGGAGCCTTACACCAAATGTGCATAAGCAACACAGAAGATGTACCTCCCTCCAACCCTGATCAACCTCAGTGCCTGCAAAGCTGCTCCAGCTCATCAGACACCTCCAAAATTAGTTCTGCTTCTTAAAAGAAGGAAGCTCTCTTTGCTTAGACTCAGTTCTGTACTAAACCATGACATGAAATGCTGGAGCAAGTACAGTCACAGAAATCAGCATATACATGTGAAACTACCAAAGCAATGACTAGGACATACACACACACACAGATCAGGTACTTTGCTTTCCATATTTAAAGCTCTTTCATGTAAGTGTGTGCAGCAGAGGGGAAGGTTACCAAAATATCTCAAGCTTTTGTAAACTAAATGAGAGAAATCGAACATTGAGAACACTATGGACGTAGGCAGGAAGAGCAGAAGGTGAGCTCTCAGCTACGCCTTTTGGTTTTGAATGTGATGGGACCATCAATGTCATTGAAAACAAAGTAAAATGAAAAGGCCAATGATGGTTTGGGTAAATTTGGCACAAGAAAGTCCAGTTGCGATTTCCATAAAGGATCCTGGTTCAGTTACAGTGGTCACGGGTTCCTGGGAATTACTCAGGACTGGTTGATGACTTAAAACCCCCTGAGAAAGGTGCCCGAGGTCCAAACATCCCAGTGCTGTGCTCTGCTCACCGCATCGGCTCACCTTGGCTCCCGTCACAGCAGCTTCTCCTAACTACCCTCCTCCTGGCCCTGCAGGCTCTGCATTTCACCTCCTGCCAGCTCTTCGGTGAGACACATTCAGAAAGCAGCTGGACAGGTTTTTTGGCACGTTTCAGGGTACCTCAAGGAGTGCTGACACCCGCTGGGATCAGTGTCCCCTGGCCGGTCAGGGCACGCAGTGATCCGCTCTGCCACTGCAGCGAGCATGGGCTCTGGAGAAAGAGGAGGACCAGCCGCCTCGAGCCCTTACAGGTAGCTGGATGTAAGGAAGGGATGATCCCCCCGCACACGGCTCATGTGGATCATGGCTCGGTCGTATGCCACCTGCACAGACTTGCGGATGCTGGTTTTGCGTCCTTCCATCATCTTTAACTTATCCACGGTGTCATCCACGCCGAGGGGATAGACTTTGTCACGAGGAAGCCACTGCCTGCAACAGAGTGCGGAGCCCAGTCACCAAAGACATCCAGAGGGGAAGGGGAAGGAAGAACAAAGACCTGACGGCCTCCTGCCCTCGTAATCATAGGATCAACAAAGCTGGCAAAGACCTTTAAGATCATCAAAGTGCATCTGTTCCCCAGCACTGCCAAGGCTACCATTGACCCACATCACTGAAGGCCTCCCAAGCTCCCTGCAGGAGACTGACTGCTCCAGTGTGCCTGGCTCTCATACCCACCCTAAGTGGCTCCTTAAGAGTGTAAACATTCACCAGAGCAGGGCCAAGCTAAGGAAAGGGTGATTTTCCTTGCAAAGGCAGTTTCAGTTTCGAGTCCGGTTAAATAATCCAGTGGGTTCAGCATGTGGCTGCTGCCTTACTGCGGGGACTCACCTCTTCCAGCGCAGTTCTCCAGGGTTCCAATTTTCCTATTGTTTCATACATGGATTTCAAAGCTTTATTTTTTAAGGGACATCACTGGTTTGTGGCTTATTATATGCGGCTGGGTTATTGTTACCATGTGAGCATGGTAAACATGGTCAGCCACTGATACTAAAATCAGCAGATGCAGCCTGAGATACAACAGGCCTTGAGGTATTTCGCTTGCCCTGAACCAGGTGCTTACACCTACATTTCCATCTTACATAAATGCCTTGATGTGAAAACTGCAGGTACTCAGCACCTCTGACAAGATCAGGCAAGTCTAAATACGGAATAAACCCAGCGTTTGGAAAATGTTACCCTGGAGATTTTTGGCCAGTCTTTTGCGCAGCACTGCACTGGCTGCTCAGTC